TTCCTCATCCCTACTGTACCAGTCCAGCCATGCCATCAGCAGCCACCAGCTTCACTCTTTGTTTCCAAAGGATACAGAGTTTGTATCCACCCAAAGGTGCTATCAAATGCAGGGTTTCTTCCAAAAAAGCCTAGCCCCTTCATCCATTTCAGAGCTGTGAACGAGATGATAGGGAAGGGGAAGGAAGCTGGGGCTGCAAGGAGCAGCTTGCATATTAGAAAAAGCCTGACTTGTGATGCATAGCTGTTGGCAGATGGAGTTGTCTCAAATCTACCTCAGAGGCCATCTGTTGCTGCAGACCACTTTTCCCTCTTGCTCCTGCCTGCTGCTGCACCTATACATGCTGGCAGGAGATTTCACGGGAACCCCAGATCCCACTGGCTCAGTCCCCTGCTGCCTCTTTGCTGGGGGTCAGTGACCCTCCTGACTGGGGTTTTGGGGGTCAGTGCCATCTCACTGAGCTTCTTTGGGGTGCCATGCACCAGTCTAGATTTGGCAGGCGTGCAGTAGTCGGGCACCTCTCACCCCACGGCTCTCCTCTGGGGCAGTTTGTGTAGCTGGGCTTTGCTGTTGGTGCCTCTTGTGCAGTGAAGCCAGCTGTAGCTTTAGTTTTGCTTCGCCGTGGCAGGAACAGGCAAGCGATGTGCTCCTTTGGCTGGGCAAGAAGAGGGCAGAGAGTTGCAGGGAGCAGCTGAGGTCCACCTTTCTTGTGGGTGAGGCAGGTGTGTGATCCTTAGCATGCTCCTCACTTGGCCCTTTGGGCAGCTGAACTCTGGCTCTCTCTGAGTGCAATGCTAGCTTGAGGCTGGCACAGTTGTCCTTCACATCGTTTGTGTTTTAAGGAATGTGTGACAGTTGATTTTCTGCCCCTCTTTTTGCGGAGTCAGATTTCTTTTTTAGCACTTATGGTAGGTTTCTTTTGTTCCTTGCTTCCCCTCTCCTTCTTGAGCCCCACCTAATGCTGGGCACTGGAGGGAGAAAATGTGCAGGGACATGAGGACAGTTGGTCAAATTCTAACACTTCCTCCATCCCTATGACCCTTGATGTCAAGAGGTATCGGCGTAAGGGGTTCCTCCATTTTTCAGGGGAGCTGAGGAAGGAGACTTCAGAGCAGAGCCCTTGGTATCTTACAATTGCTCCTCATACCCCTTGTTGGCTCAATAATACACATTTCTGTTCAGAGGCAGAGATAGTACGGACAGTGCAATGTGATCGGAGGGGGAAAAGAGCTTTATGTTAGGGAAGTCATCAAAGATATCAAATGTGAGAGGATTTTTCTTTCTGCTGCCTCTTCCCATCCCTGGCCATCCACTGCCACGTGCCCTCTGAGAGTGACTGCTGCTCAGCATCTCTCCAGAGCCTCAGCCAGGCCTTTCTGCAAAGCCAGTGCCTTTCCGCAGCTGAGGTATTGACTCTGTTAACAGGTAACACATACAGTCCCCAAAAACTGGCTGCTGAATGATTCCTCCTCCTGCCTGCTTTGCTCCAGGCAGCTTTTACACTTGCACAGTCCTGTGTCTTCATACAGTAGCTAATTATGCTTCGTATCCCAAGTGCCTTATGTCGCCATGTAGTCTTTCGTACTCTTGATCTGTGTAGTAGATCAGTAGCTGAAGGCTCTTCCTCTTTACAACGTATGTACAATGTATGCTACATTTATGTGGGTTTGTTTTCTTTTGATAGAGCTACCAGTAAAAGGGACAGTTTGTTTTGGAAGCATTTCCATATGTTCTGTTTTTATTATTTTTAAACCTACAGATGTTGGGGCTTTTTTTGCCCTCCCCTATATTTAGCCCTTGGAAATCCCCATCCTTCTCATTTTATACCCAAATATGGCAGGTTTGGTTATGGGGTTTTTTGTGCTGACCCTTTGGTGTAAGGGAATATGCGCTGTCATCCCAGCGGTTTGCAATCTACCCTCCACTGGAGGGGCTGCCATGGGCTGCTTCTGTCTTTGTGTTCTAGTGCAAGCACCATCCCTCAGCTGCAGGCTTGCAGTAATTGCTTCTATGTCCATGTTGTTTCTCAGCAGACTGAGCCTCCTCTTCAGCCCAAAGAGATTTTTCTTTCTCAGAGCATTTTCATTGCAAGCCCTTGGTGGTCAGTCTTCCCTTGACCACTCTGCGTACAAAGATGCCATGAGCTCACTTTCCTTGAGTGGATGCTCTTCTCATGCCCCATCTTGTCAAGCCCCATGTCTTCTGTAAAATGATCCATCTCCAAAGAGGAGCCCTTGTCCACCACAGCACAGAAAGCACTAAGGGACTATACAAAACTGTAAGTCTTCACTTCCAGGGTAAGGCTATTGCTCACACCCTTCCTGAGGGCTTGAGGCTGCTTCTGTAGTCTGTGTTGATATCCAGCCTAGGAATGTCAGGGATTGAGTTGTCTTGTGATTTTTGGTGTGAAGCATAGTGATTTCCTGCTCTAGCCTGGAAGAGCTGTGAAATACCAGCAGTAGTTCTTTTTGTTTTAAATAGTTGGGGAATGGGCTTGGGAAGAGAAGGGGGCAGAGGAAGTACAGATGTAGCATTTCACATGTAATTTTTGAGTGACTCATGTTATAGGGCATTACAGTTGCATTAATTTTTGTTGTCTGTTTAGGATTCTTTCTTCTTACTTACCATGTTTGGGTTAGTATAAGGACATCGAGTTCCAGTTCCACTGTAGGTCACCTTACCCTTAACTCACCATTTCAAAATGTGGTTTTGATAGGCTTTCTATTTGGAGGGAAGAATAACTACTCTAGGATGCCTCCCCCTTTCCTCTAAGTGACTCTTGAAGCCTGTAGCCAGCCTGCCTTTGCTGCAGGGCATGAAGTTTACAGCAGCCTCAGCCTCTTGCCTTAGATGAAGTCTTGGTAGATGGGCCCCACTTGTGCCGACAGTAGATAGAGATTATGGGCTTTGATTTACAGCCTTCTGGTAAACTTTGTGAGTGTGTGATAGATGGTTTGTTTGGTAGGTTTTATATTCAAACAGTGAAGTAAGATACTTTGCCCTGGGGCAGCGTGTGGGGTTTTGCTGGCAGCAGGGAAGACTGGCTGTTGTGAAAGTCAGGCCAAGGCATGTAGTTTTTCTTCAGATATGTTGAATTCAATGGACCAAACTTCAGCAAAGGAACTCAAGGAAAAATGCTATTCTTACATATTTATGCTTTAGTGCAAATTTCCTGATTTTGGAGGGGACTGGGGGGAAGTAACAGTCTCTGATACCCTGTTTGTTTCATTCTTCCTGCCACTTCAGTTTTTGTACGAATTTTGTTTGTTGTTCGATGTTTGTTGTTAAATGACTTTTGTGATAAACTCAACAAAAGTATTTTTCTGAAATAAAGAAATAAAAGGCATAGATTCTTCCATTGCTGCTGTCTGCTGGTGCTTTATCACTCTGCCAAGCCGTATGTGCTGCAAAGCAGGCTGCAAGGGGTTGTACTTTGTCTCGCTCCTGCTGTATCAGACTGGTCTATTTGGTGCAATGTCTTGTGTCCCTATATTCTCCACAGCTGGGCTTCATCATCTTGCATTCCCCATGTCTACAGCATGGGCAGCTGCTTCTGAGTTAGTTTTCCATGGCTGCCTTCATCATTGGGAGTGGAGGATTAGGGCAATTGTAGGATATGATTTATCTGATGTGGTTTAGGTGCATACTTTATGGTGAGCTGAATTGTATACTTTCTGCAGTTGCTCCCGGGCGTACTACATGATTTGGCTGAGTATTAAGTTACAGTTTCATAGCAGAAAGCAGTTTCTGACTTTCTTTTCTACAGTCCTAATTTCATCTCTAAGTTCTTGGCCAGTGGAAAAGCTGATTTGGGTGGCCTTTAGAAATTACTTTGTCAGCTGCTGTTTAGAAGGCACTTCACGCAACACCAAGCCATGCTTTGAAATGTGAGGTGAACCAGAGAGAGCTGTAGTGATTCTCAGCTGGAGTGAGCAGCAGCACAGAACAGGCCCAGAAGGGAAGAGTGGTGACCTTTCTGAACAAGAGGTGACAGGAGGGAGCTGTCATGTGAAGGCTCTCAGCTGCCTGAGGGGAAGTGGGAATCCACCGTAAAAAAAAGATGATTTAAATAAGCAGTTTGTTTCAGAGCTTTGTTCTCTGCTGTGTGCATGATGAGTGCCTTTCACATGTGCTCAGTGGCAATACTTGGCAGGTGTCTTTTGGGGTGAGAAGGTCCCTGACACGTCTACCTTCATGGAAAGATGAGCAATGTAACTCCAAGTGGAGCACAAGTGTCATAACTATTGCTATGCCAACTGCTTGTTTTCCCTTTTCATTGGACCTGTCTGGTATGATGACAGGTTGCATACAATGGGTTAGATAGTATGTCAATACTAAAATCATTCTCCCAACCTTCTGTTAAAAAATGCAAAGCTGCCATCAGCAGATTTGTGCACAGACCCCTGCTATCTCCACAGCTCTGTGAGAGCTAAACTCACCACTTCAAGTAAAACCAGAATCACACTCTGTGGGTTTTTTCCTCCACCACACCCTCCAAATTTTAATCCCTAGCTATTCCAGCTATTGAGGTACTTCTATTTAAAGCAGATATATTAACACATTCAGACCAGCAAGTGCCAGTTTATCATGGCCCATGGCAGGGCTGTTATATTTTCTTGCAATGTAAATATCAATTTAAACTGGCAGTCTTCACTGCTGAAGGTGAAAGGCTCCTTTTAACTCTAAGAGAAATCTGAAGTGGTTATCACTCCAGGCTTTAGAGAGCTCTAGAAAGCCTTGCTGTACTGCACTGCAAAGTTCAACCAGAGTACCTGGCTTTGGTTCTTCAAAGTTTTTTTCTCCTGTGAGTTTCATTTCAATGTCCAGTACTTGTGAGGTTGTTTGGCAGTGACCAAAAGGACAGGGAGAAATTAAGAAGGAAAAAAAGTTAACAAAGTGAGGGTAAAATTAGCTGGCTCTAGTGAGGATGGAAGGAGGAGTGTGAGTGAAGTAAAGGTGAATACTAGAGCATCCTTTTTGAAGTACAATGTCTTAAAGTCAAGTCAGTAAGAATTTTATTGCTGGTCTTGTTGTTCAGCTTCTGGGCAGAGATCACAAAGGGAAGGCTCTAAGGAAGTTACGGTAGTTTATCTGGTTTTCTCCACAAGAACACTGGTCAATCAGCTGGGGGAAAAAGAAAACAAACAACATAACACCACCATAAAGAGTTGGAAGAAGCTTCAAATCTGGGGGGTTTTTTAGTAGCTGAAAGTGCCCAGAGGTACTCCTTGTGCAACAGAGCAGATCTTGTTTTCCTCTGTGGAAAGGCCTTGATAGTCCTAAATCACAGGTAACCTTGAATGTTTATAAATGACACTAATCTATGCAAGAAGAGTTGATATGTTTGTTTTTAATCCTGATTGCTTTCCGAGTAACACCAGAGTGACACAAAAAAATAAAGGGTGGCCACAAACTGACATAGGCTACTGCAAATCTTTCAGAAACCCCATAGATATCCCTATCAAAAGTGAGATGGGGGCAGCATATCTGAACAGTTACTGTTCACCGGTGTCACTTTGGTGTGTGCACATAGCATAAAGTGGAGACACAGATAATTGAGCTCAGCAACAGACCTACTAATGAGCCAGTTCTGGTATCCATGCCTGACCCTTCATTGTGTTACAGCACTATAGCCTTTGTGTGCTTAAGGGGAAGAAAGAGGGCTTTTGTTTCTTTAATTGCATAACTAATCTCCTTCTGACACTCAGGGAGATGGAAAAGGTCTAATATCACAGTTTCTCGAAAGGATTCTTCTTCCCTTGTCGCCTGGAGACAGACTTACTAGGGTTGCTCTTGTGTGACTGACAGCTACGCTCCTCTCCAATCCAAACAGTAAGCTATCTGCTCTATGTTTAATTTACACCACCACCGTGCTCCTGAGGGCTCTGGGCACACTATTACTAAGATTTCAAGAGAAGAGGGGTGCTTTCTGTGTATAGGTCCTAGATGGGGATCCAAACAATTGTCACAGGTTCTCTATCCACATGCATGTCACTTCATCTCCCACTTCAAGAGTGGAAGCAGAAAGGACTGTCACCACGTTGTAAATTCCTCAGGGCAGGGTGGTCTCTGATGAGCTCTAGCACAGCAAAGCCCTGGGTGCTCATCAAAGGCCTCCATTCAGTGCCCATTCAGAGACATAAATGCCTGTGCACCCTTCTATCCACAGCTGTGATGTTTGTGTTTGGCTGGTTTAGAAAACTATTATTATTTGGGTTTTTAGCAAGGGAAATTCTCTGGTTTCTAGATTTCTGAATCTGCCTTTATTGGCCACTAATCTACTGCATATCCCATTAAGCTTAGAAAGCATCCTTGCCAGTTATATTCCTGTAAGAATCCTCCATCCCTGCTACATGAATTCTTCTCTTCAGTTTCCCTCACATTTTCTCTATGCAGACTGTGATCTCCATGTGTGTATTGATCATAGTGCCCAGCAAGTCTGTGTTTTAGTTGTGTTAACCGAGTGGCTATGATTTAAATTGTAGTTCTCAAATCTTCAGTTGCTATTACATCTAGAATGCATCTAATCTTTCCTAAGGCTCATTACCTAAGCACCTCAGCCATCACCCCTACTCAATCCCAGGTGTGCATAAGTAATGACAGACACTCAGTAGCTCTGCTGTAGCCTATGCTGGGTCTCTATCATGATAATACAACCATCTTCTGCTCATGCCAACAGGCGTCACACAACAAGCAACAGGTTTCTCATTTGGGGGGCACCCTGGATATCATTTCTTTGCTTTACTTATAGGACAGCAATTATTATCTCCTTCTTTAAGACCCATGCTGAACCAACAGCTCAGAGGCCCTTCTGAATTGGTACTCTTGCCCTTTTCTTGAAGCTGCTCCCCTCTGTAGGGTAGAGCAGCTGGTGCTCACCTGGCTAGGGCTGGTTTGCAGAACAGCACTTTTGGAAGAGCTACAAGAGGGGAATTCAATATGCACAGCACCCCTTCCTTCTCACCTTGTTAAGAAGAGTGGTGTTGGTAGGCACACTCAAGCTGTCACAGAGGGATAAAAATTTTGCTTTGTCCAGTACACCAGAGCCATCCTTGTCACACTGAAGAAACGCCTCCTGAATGTTCTTGTTGTTCAAGTGCTTATAGGGCTTCAGCTCTTCCTGAACATGCACAATTAATTCATCCGGTTCCTGCTTGCTGGTCCCAACCTTGGGGATGTCACTGTAGAAGCAAGGAAGAACAGGACATGTGAAAGCTACTTCTGGCAACCTTACCGTGACAGTTTTGTGTGCTGACTGCCCATCACAGCTGCCCAGGCTGTATTTCTGAATATACAGAAGGCTTCTGGGATGCTTGTTTTTCAATGCAAGCTCACCTCAGCCTGGACTTGGAGATGAAACTCAGTCTTGATACTGGAGCATTAAGTAAACAATTTTCCCTTTGCAGGACATTTTGCCCATGCACCTCTCGTCTGCAAGTGCTCTGGGCGCACAAGCATTTTCTTGTGGTGCTTCACACAGTCCCAGGAACCACATGCAACTCCAGTTTCAACCAGAGTCCCTGAACTACCATGATACTGACCCCAAAGTGTGTTGTGAGGTAAAAGGGTTGTTACTGCACCACCCCAAATGGGTCCAGTCAGCTAAAACAGAGGCTCTCCTGGGGTGATAAACACAGCCAGAGCAAATGAAAACGACTTCACCAACTCTCCACTGATCTTACAAGCATCTAGTGAGTCATGCAGATACTGTCAGCAGCATCTGTTACAGTTAACTGCTGCCTTTTGGAAAAAGACAACTGTGTCCATTTAGCTAAATCTCCGCTGCTGAGCCAGAGCTGTTCCACAAGGGTTTTGGGTCATGACATTATATCATACACGCTTGACCCTCCCTGTATGTGTCCAGACATAGGCTCTTGGAGCTGAATAATCAGCTAAGCAGCCATTAGACAGTAGTCTGGAGCCCGTACAGGCTGCTGGAAATGCCCTTAGCTGTCAACCCTAAGTCTTATTTAGCTCGGCAACACCATCCTTTGAAGCTTACCTGTTGTCAGGCTCCTTTACCACCTGCTTTGGGTGAAAATGATCCCTCAGGGATTGTAGTGTTGCCTCAGGGAAACTCCCTGCATTGCTCTCCATATAATTAAGCACATGTTCATCAGCGTCAGTGATAACAAACCTGTGGCCAAACACTGGGGAGGGGGAATTAAAAAAAGCAGTGTTACTTGCCTTTCAGCATGGGTAAGTCATTCCATCATCCAGGAGAGAGCACAGATTCTCTCTTGTGGCTGGGCTCAGGGTTGAGCGGGCACTGCTATTTGTTTCAGTCCTTGAAGTGAGAATAGTTTCACCGACTCAAAGAGTTCTGCTGCAAGAAGAGCAGCTGCTGAGAGCAAAGGCCCTGGGCTTGGGCCTACAATGGCTCCCCCATTAACACCAGTGTGTTTCTAAATGTTTCAGTACTGCATTTATTTTCCTTACAGGACAGAATTACAGCCTTTGCTGCTGGTAGTCATCTGGCATAGCTTTAACCCTGTGAATCCTGGCAGGTCCCAAATCATAAATGGAATACATACCACGGAGAATAAAGCTCTTTTCCTAATTATGTCAAAGGTCCAAACATTGGCAGTAACAAATTTATACCAATGTACACCAGCTGGTGACCTGGAAACTCAAATGTGATGAGACCCAGAAAGAACAGATCTTCCAAGTGAAGGAAGGTATATGCACTATCCATGCAATTAGTGACATATCAGAGCAGGCAATGAAAAATGATGCTCAGAGAATATAAAACCAGGCTGGATCTTACCTTCAATTGTAGAACCAATTGTGAGATCAGAGGGCCCATAATATGTGGCATTTTCTGTAGTTGAGCCTGGTTTGGCAACTCTGGTCTTTCTTAAGTATTTGCCTCCAATGATGCCGGAGTTACGGACCGGAGGTTCATAGATGCTGATCATGTCATTGGAGAGGAAATAAGAGAGGATGAAACGACGCTTTCTGTCCTCAGGGTTTGGTGATTCCTAGAGAAAAGAGAGGGGATTTGAAAAGAACATTGGAACCCGTTTTTTATTTCGTGGGGTGCTTAGGAGTACCTGGTAACCCACTCATAAGCACCCAGAGTTCACTGTTTTTTTACATAGCTGAATAAACAAAGTGCTTGCAGTATGCCAAAAGCTACAGATATGCTGACAGAGTGTAACAAAGCCCTAGGAAGCATTAAATATCTGAATTTCAAAGGTTACTTGCTCTAGTCAGCTTCTCAGAAGCAGAATCTGGGCTGCAGTGACCAAGCACATTCAGTGTTTCCACAAACTGAGTAATCCAGGAGAAAGGAATATCCTATATGAGATGATTCATCACAGAGAGACTGGCTGTAAAATTCAGTATTAAAGTTATATTTTTCATTGTAATAAGCGCCTGAGAGAGGCTGGTGCTGCTTTCAGCTCTTAGTCACAGGAAGACACTCCCCTGACACACCAGTAGGTTTACTTGCTTAGTTTAAAATTAAGTGGATCTGAACTCATCAGCTGTGACCTTTAGGATCTCCTGCACAATAGGGAAAAGAAATCAACCCTTATTCACCCTGAATGTTTGGAGAGGGCAGGCACCAGGCAGCACAGGAAATGCCATTGCTGCTTCTGGATGTGCCAGAGGCTCCTTGCATAAACCCACTGTAAAGCTGGCACAAATGCCAGGGTCTGAATGCCATTGTTGTGGGTGGAAAGCACCATCCCCGTGGACTCTCTGAATTCTATGCTGGCACTTGGCTGCTCTGCTAGCACAGCCCTTTGCTGGCTACTGCACTCAGGACTAGCCTGGAGAAGGGCAGGTGCTGGGAGCTAGCAGTGGAGAGACAGCAAGCTCATGCTTGTGGCAGCAGTTGGAGGCAGGCAGGGGCACAGTGCCCAGTTGCAATGCTGTTTCAGTTAGAGCCATCTGTCACGTGCTGATGTCAGTGGGAGTTTTTCCATAAATGGCTGTGGTTTTGTAGCGTGTCTGGTTTGTATTTTCTGGCCTGTTTTTTTCTACCTTTATGTGATACTAATTGTCATAGCAAGTACACAATAACCAACAGCATCCCCTGAGGGGCACTCGTGTTGGCTTGGGGAACTTTCTTTTCCTACCAGCACAGAGGAGAATTTGCAAGCAGCCTTGGCTGAGCAGGCTGTTCCTCCTATCCTTCTGACTCTACAACATAAGCTGGCACTATACCATCAACGAAAGCACTTACCAGGGCCACCTGGTATCGCAGCACCTTGTTGTCATTCTCTAGCATCTTAATTACATCTTTCCGGGGAGGTTTTGGAAACAGAGAAAAGCAGTTCTGAAGAGTGTCTTCAAGGATGCCAAAACCATTATAGGGAGGAATTATCTGCATCCAGAGGACATATCAAGCATAAACAGTTGAAATTAAGAACATGACAATGTTTGCAAGAGAACCTACCGAAAAACATCTGTTTGGAAAGAAATCTGTCACCAGATAGCAATAGATGTGACATCCTGACTAGTATAGGTGCTACTAGCCTGGCCATGTGTTGGATCCCTTATTTATAGAAAATATTCAAGAGAATTCAGAAAACCTGAAATTCAGAAAGCCAGGTATTTTGTTTGAATAAAGAGACTATGTCTGTACTAGTAACTAAACCTTCCTGTGCACAGGAACTCAGTAATCTGTGTGGTCACACTGTTAACCTAATCCCCATCATGTTTGTGGTTTATAGGCCAGCTAGCACTCAAAACCATTCCTAAGCACAGTCTGGAAGGTAACAAGGACTCTAACCATCTCCAGTAGGCAGTCTGGACTTGGCAACTCCATTATGGAGGGTGAGGTAGAGTTTAGTAGTATGATGCAGACAAACTGTGCCACTTGGCTTCTCAAACAAAACCACACCCTGACACTGTTTAATGTTCTAGTATACAGACATAACCAGAGTTCTTTTATCACTATTAGCAAGTGCTTTGTCCTTTACAGTACTAGAAATCAATGGCTTCAGAGGACTTTCATTTTTATATTAGTGATGACCATTCTTGCCTTTTTGAAGTTGCTCTTGCCTTTAAGCTGTACTTGTTTACTACGGGTTCTTATTAAGCTGAACTTCTGCTTTACCATAGAAGCTTATACCAACTGCTTCCTTCTCTTCCTTCCTTTGAGAAACTGGTTGCAGTACCTGTTGAACTTCCTCAGGTGGTTTCTTCTTTATTTCCACTGGCTGGAAGTCAGTGATGCCAAATTTGTCACGATAAAAGTTTCGTGTGAACTCATCACAATCATAGATGAAGAAATCGCGTCCAAGGAGGCTGGTAAATTTGCCAACAGCAAAATCTTTAGCTGTGTACCACTCGAGTACCTCCTGATCAGAGATCTCCATCACACAGGTTGGGAAAGTCTCTAAGAACAAGAGAGCAATAGGAAAAATAAGGTAAGCAGGCAGATATTAACATTTCCTAGTGAAAAGGAATACAAAAGCAAAATTAATAAATAGCTGCAGGGAGCTGTTGGTACTGCTGTCCTGCCACTGCTTCCCAGAAAGATAAAGAATTTAGTGACCATTTTAAGAACTTTTCTTTGGCCAAAACTGATGACACTTGGAAAGTTTTCAGCAAAAAATCTCCAGACTCAGTGTACCTCTGACATAGCCACCACGCATATATCTACCTAGCAAGGCCCTTTAGCACAGAGAGATGTGCTGGTCAATCTAAACTTACTTTGCTTACCCACAAAGGTTTTGGGTATGCGCTGGCGTCTTATCAGTACTGGGAATGGGTCTCTACCATCATTTTGCTTGTGGACTTCCCGAACCTCCACTGTGTCATCTGCCAGGTAGTAATGGATGATGTAAGGCCGATTCTCACCAAAGATGTTGTTAGTGTCATCCCACATGGCGTAGAAGCGAAGGACCTTGGGTGGAGGAAAAAGAGGCAAAGACAAACAAGGACTAGAATTACTGTGCTGAAGTGGTTAAAATTAGATATTAGGAAAAAATAATTTACTGTGAGGGTGGTGAGGCTCTGGCACAGGTTGCCCAGAGAAACTGTGGATGCCTCATCTTTGGAAGTGTTCAAGGCCAGGTTGGATGGGGCTTGAAGCAACCTGGTCTAGTGAAAGGTATCTTGCCCATGGTATGGGGTTCAGAACTAGGTGATCTTTAATGTCCATTGCAACCCAAACCTTTCTATGATGCTACAAAATGGGTTAGGTGATTCGAGACATCTCACCAAGCTTCTCTATCAGGTCCAGAAGAACCAAGCCCTTGTACTATGGAGACTGGGATGATTTGGCTGCTGAGGCAGCAGTGGGAAGGGTAGCAGGGGCCTGGAGAGTTGGACAGGCCTCGCTTACCTTGACAACAGTAAGAGAGAAAGAGTTTATGCTAAGAGATTTAGTTCAGGAAGCATATGGAAAACTGGGGAGGGTGGGGAGGGGAAAGTGATTAAAAAGCAGCAGAAAATATTTGCCCAGAAATGAATGGGGAAGTGATTTTTATAATGGAACTTAATACAGTAAGGCAGAATTTTGTTTTGACTCTTAAACTTCTTACAGGTTTCATGGCCAATTCTTTACTGCTGTTACACCAAAGAAAGCAGAGAGGAATGTATTCAGCAGTCCTGAGGAGGCTGCATTCAATGCAGGCCTCGTGTTATTTCTAGTTAGTGGAAATATCATCTGTTAATGCCACAGAAATCAAACTCCTCACACTGCAGTGCTCAAGAGTTCCCCAAGGCACAGCCCCTAAACAGGCAGCCCAATAGCAGACAGAGTTGGCCCAGCACAGACCTGAGTCACTAAACCTAAACTGGCAGTAAAATGGCAGGCATGGCTCAGCTTGCATCCACACAGCAAAGCTGTGGGCTCCCCTCAAAACAGGGTGACCGTATCTAAAATGGCACCTGGGTATAACCCTGGCCTGTGTTAACTCCTAGCTGATGGCCAGGAACTGTTTGACTGATAGCTGGCTACGGACAACATGCAGGACACAGGTCATGCCATGCCCCTGTTTTATTTCATAGTATAGAAGTAGTCTATAGGGTTTCTTACTTTTTGCTAGATGAAAAGATGAAGATCCAGAGGAGCATGGAGGAGTGTTAGTCAATTGTGTGCACAGGGCAAATTCAGTCAGAGCAAATGGCATTTGTATCTGAAATTTTCATTCTGGCACCTGGCATTGATGCTTTGGAGGAAGAGAGGAGTGGATGCAGCATGGTCATTGGTCATAGAAATGCATCTGGCTGCTAACTTCCTGAGACAGGTAGCTTATATCATCCCAACAAAAAGCAAGAGAAAAATGGAGGATTTAAAGCATGAGCTCTGCAATCCAAAGAGAAGCTGTTTACAAGGCAAAAACATAAAAGATTTTGTTTCTCAGTAAAGCCAAAAGAGGAGCAAATCTGGAATCTGTTCAGGGGAGTGAAATTTTTTTAGAATGAGTAAGGTTGCAGACATTCACAGACTCAGGTTTCAATAACATGTGCACTCTGTAATAGCTATCAGCTCTCTCACCTGCTTGTCGTAAGTCAGAAACCGTTTGAATTGGTCAAAATTTGATGGTGTGATGTACTTGCGCACAGGCATCTGACGCAGTTCTGTGTAAGGATCAAAAGCCATTTTCTCTGGCGGGTTCACTTCAATTCCTTGGCTCTGCAGGAACTCCTAGGAAGGTCAACTGAGGTATTAATGGTGCCAAGAGTTCTGAAGGTAAGAAGTAACTACAGATTATGGACAGGCTGAGATGAGTGTTGTCAGAATACTGCAAGTTCATTCCTCACAGACCACCAGCCTGCAGGAGTATTAGTTCTGCTGCAATAGCAAATACATAAAAGATGACCAAGATGTTTCTGTTTAAGCTGCTTCTTAGCTTTGCTTTGTCTTTTAGTTAATCAGGGCAGTCCTGTCCCCAACATCCTAACTCAGATTTTACTTGAGCACAGTTTTCCTTGACTTTAGGGCTTTAAATGGACAATAACTGTCAGTTGGTACATGAAAAAATATTATATTAGTGCATAACTGCAGATGTAGTTAGAACTTGCAAGAGATCTAGGGCTCCCCAGTGTGTGGACAGTGGAATCTAGTGTTACCCACACTAGACCCACCAAGGCCCTTCAGGCCATAAGGGTATTTGCCAGAGTGGCAGCGTCATTCCATCTTTCAGGAGGAGTACTTTTCCCACAGAGAGAGGGCAATCTGCTTGTTTATAAAGGGAACTTTTGCTTACATTGGATGCGTCAACAAACTCTAGGGTATTACTTGTGTACTCACATCGGTCACCCAAAGCAACCTCTGAAGTCAATGGACTTCTTTCCTTTCTGGCCTTGGGAAATGGCCCAGGAAAACATTCAGCCCAGGAAGCCCTATGTAAACATCTCCAACAGGCACGTGAGATCACCCTCAAGAGTCACAAGGCAGATTCACACTTTCAGACTATTTTCTGGTCCGGAGGATGCCAGTTTGTGATAAATGGACTAGTGGCCTTGAAATACAGACCCACATAGGTGATTTCATGTTTTTCATCAACCAATCAACATTAACATGAGGACCAGCTCTTCATCTGGTGTGAATCGACTTTAGTAGTCATCCAGTTCCAGCAGAGGTGGCCCCACATGTTCTTAACAGCCACATATATACCAATATATTATGCCTGGGAACATTCCTGGGCACTGAGGCCAACTGGCAAGGAATAATCTGAATCTACACTTCTCTGAGCCTCCAGGATAGGTTGGCTGCATGTAATTCACCTATTAGCAATGGTCCCTGGAGTATTCTAACTCCTGGACTGCTTCTGGGAATTGCCTGGAAGAATAAAATCATAGAATAGTAGTTGACCAGGACTGAGATTATACTGGGGACAGTCTAACCCGATACCAGTATACTGCATTTGTTACTACTTGTTACTGGATTGCTGTTATCTCATTTACTGGTATATAAATAGCCAGAAATAGAAAAGCAGGCAATAAGTATGCTCTCTTAGGAAGGTCAGTTCACACCACAATTCTCAACCCGCAGATCATAACCTCTTTTCTGGCTTGACTGTAGATGGGTGCAGAGTTAATTACTGCATTCCCTCCCCCTGTTTTTAACAGTGGAGATGTAAAAGAAAAGAGTTAGGATCAGTAGTTTCTCACGTATGCACAATGTTTCATCTAGAATCTAAGCAGTTAAACACACTGAGATGAACTTAGAATATGTGTTGTAAAGAGAAGTCTTGAGAACAAAAGATGGACTCCCAGCAGTCCTAAGGCAAAAGTACTGAGCAATTAACTCAGCAAATATCATACCTTGAACTCCCCATTGATCTGAAGAGAGAAGTCTTCATGAAAAGCAAAATGAAAGATTGTGAGCAACCATACTATGAAAGCTTCAGACTCTAACAGGTCTGTCCACCTGTAACTCTGTGATTTTTTGTGAGTGTTCTCTGTACAAGCAACACACCTGTGTGAATTGGTCACAGTCGACTATGCGGTATGTCCTGCCATACATGGTGATGTTCATGCCCCGATTCAGATCTTTCCAATGGTAATGCTCCCCACGGTCATTCTTGGGCACTCGGTGGCGTCTAATATGTTTGCCTTGAGGAATACCAGAGTTCTGCACAACAGGTTCTATGACGTACATGGTGTCATCTTCCAAATAGTAATAGATACACACTTGGCGGATACGGTAAAGCTCTACTGCAGAGAGAGGAACATCTTCCTGGAAATAGGCATCGAACTTCAAAACCTGCCAAAGGGACAATATAAAAAAAAAAGGGAGAGAGAAAGAAAAATCTTTAACACCACAATTAGGTTATTAAGACCAACATTTATTTGTCATTTCCTTTGACAGTGTGAAGTACCTGGATTGTAATCTATAAAATCATCCAACCCAACTGTAGCCTAATTTGTAACTGATGGAAGAGGCATCATGAGGGCTTTTATCAAGATCTGCCTTTTACAAGGTGTAAAAAATACATCCTTTTCTCTCCTCCTCCTTGATCACCTTGCTGTTTCACCCACTGCCAGGTGTGTGGTTACTGCTAGTAACATAGTTTACTGGCATGCATGACTTCACTATTGTCAGCTTTGCAGACCCGAATTTAAGGAAGCTATCAAGAGATTTTAATAGAGAGCTCAACAACATCTGTGGATTTTTAAAAGCTGCATGGGTTGACTGAAGTAACATCTATTCAGCACTGACAGCAAAGGTTACTATGTGCTGGAGAAACAAGGAGAGAAATAAGCCAGTCAGTCATGGTTCCTGTGCATGGCAGAAGTATGAGGAGTATTTCCCCCAAGAACATCTAATGTGCCTAAGAGAACATAGGTGGGCAATCAGGCCTTGCTTACCCAGAGGCCTGGGTAATAAAGTGATGATAAAGCCAGCAAGTTCCTACCAGCCAGCAAAAGTACTTCAAAAGGGACCGTGACTCCCCTGAGCAGCATGGGGCCACTGCTGCTACTGTGACTTGAATGAAGGGGCAGAGAAGTATCTGGCAGATTAAACAGCAACATCTATATCACTCTGAAGGAACAGCCTCAGTAATTAACAGAGCACATCTGTTCCCCAGATTGTCTCACAGATGGGCTGAGGGCTGGCTGCGGGTTGCCTTTCCAGGCCTGCCTGCACGCGCTCAAGTCTGCTAAGCCTTGCATGCTCTGCAATGACTGCTCTCTGTGGCCAAGGGTGCACTCGCCAGCTTGCAGTCTATGCAACTGGTGCATTTAAAATCCAACGGTCAGCTCAGGACTGTTCTGAGCAGACACATTGCCACCTCCTAATCTGATATCACCAAAGGGTAATGCAGGAAGTACTAACAGAGCAGGACAGGCTGCAACATGCTGTGGTGACAAACACAAGCATAAATAGATAGACCACAGTTAAACAGTCTAACAGGGTCCCCATTGCAGACTGTTTTACAGTTTAAACTCAATTATAATCTCAATATAGTTTTGGAAACACAGAAGGCCAGGCTGTGGCTTACAGGGCAGTGGTTATAAGCTGAAGCTTTTCAGAGTTACTCAAACTTCTTTTCCAGTGCCTGCTGGAAGTGCTCTAGCGTAACTTGTGGGGAATGTCTTACACGGTTTACGTATTATAATCCTCCTCCCGAGCAAAGAAAGCCTCTTTCAGTCTGGGGTTCAGCTGTCTCTGACTAAGGGCTATGGCATCTGAAAACTGCTGTACACTGTCCCATGAACCCTGGAGCTGACTGTTTATGTCTCTGAACTTGGCCAGTGATATTCCTGGAATAAGCTTCTTTATACCTTTTTGTCAAAAGCCACGTGTGCTGGAATGAAGCCTGAACGTGGAGCCCGCTTGACTTGTCCATAGGTCAGCGTGGGTCTCTTGCTGGCTAATATGTCTAATTCAGCCTGAGAAAGCTGATTCACATACAGCCGCTCCCCACCAGACCCCACTGTTGGCAGCCGAGAAAAGGCATATCCATTTTTGTAGCCCAGTGTCTGGGACCGATGAAAACATGTTTTCTGTGGAAGAAAATCCAGCTGTTAAAATACTGCATGCACTTAGTTGAGACAGCTACTGAAAGCATTTAAAAAACAGTAGAAAAGTGTAATATCCAGAATTCCCCCTTCCTCTTCCCCCCCCCCCCCCCAATTTTATTATAACCAACTTTAGAAGTCATTCACAATTAGATTTTAGATCAAGAAGGCTGAAAAAAACAATAAGTGGCTGGAGGAACAAAGCATCAGGTGAACTCAAATCCTAGCACTGCCACATACTCCCCAAGAACTTAAATCACTTAATTGTCCTATTGCCATCATTCTCAGTGCCTAGAATGGAGTGACAGCACTTTATCTGCCCTAGTATTTACCTTGCAAACTTTGTTCCCTACCCTGTGTTACAGAACTACAGAGCACCATGGGACTTCACTGTGTTACTGCCTTATGGTGCTCCCTCGACTATTACACACTGTGTGTTCAGTGTGTTTTATTTTTTAAACCCTCTCTTGGGGATGATACTCACAGAATTTTCTTCACTGGGTTAAATCAAGGTGTGTCACGCTCACGGAACTGCTGTTATGAAATGTACCTAAGCACATGAGCTATTTTGCCACCCCTTTCCACAGTCCATGCAAGGGTCACCCATTAAATAATCGCAACCATAGTGTAAGACCTTATAGCAGATTAGTAAGAAGCCTGATTAAGATGAGGAGAATTCTATGTGGGCACTGTATAATGCTGGCCACAGGATTCACCTGTTATTTTTTGGTTTGTTGGTCAAATCTGGGTTTTGAGCTTCTTTCACCTGTCTTTGCTAACTGTCTCACGCCAGATATTGAGCCATTCTTCAGGCTAAATGATTATCCAGATAGCCCAGAAAGGTCTCTGCTTTGATTAAGGACACACAAGAAGAAAATATCAGAGCTGTGAATAGGACCCATTCTCTGTCAGCCCAGTTCTGTTCTTCACTACTGAAAATTAGGATCACACTTGAGTGACCCCAAGCAAGTTGACTCGCTGTACAGTCCACCACACCTGGTATCTCACCTGCAATCTGGAAAGCATTTGAAATCATGCATGCCTAGCTGGTCCCACTGGGCTTTCAACACTTAATGCTCCAGAGAGAGCAGCAGTAATTGCAAGTCCTTCATAAAAGAATCTCTGACTTTACCTTGACTCTTGCCAAGTAAAAGAGTTGTACGCATTTCTAATGCTGAAGGAATAAGCTTCAGCGCCTTTTCTAGACACAGACTGGAACTCAAATTCAGGCATTTGAACCACTTCTTTCCCACCCCCTCTCTCACACCCCCATGGTTAAGCCTCTAATCTTATTTATACCTCCAAGGCCCCACTTGAATTTCACATAATTTCCTGCTTTCTCTTTAAACTGGTACTACAGATCTTGCAGTGCTGTGGAGAGACCAGTTAGGAAAACAGATTCAGGTGAAATCAGCTGAAGACCTGTTAACAGAATGTCTTATAAACATTAGCCCAGAACTGCCATTTCCTTCTGTTAAATAAATATGAAAGGAAAGCTGTGGGGAAAAAAAAATATCAAGGAAAACCAGGAAGTTAGTCTTTAAATTGGGCAGTGTCACTGTTTGTCAGAAGTGCACAGGCTTTTAAGGGCCCACAGTTGCTTAAAGAAAACACCTCATAAATTCATAAGACTCTGGAGTCAATAAGCTCTCCGAAGAAAGCATGGATGCCAGATAACATCTCACAGTATCAGGTGACTAATGCAAATTTAAAAGGGAAAACCCAGAATGTAAACTCCTAATCTCAGTTGCTGCCAGTCCATATCTGAAGAAATTCCACTGAATTAAGTTGTCCTTTTTGCCAAGTATATAACACTTCATACAAACACCATTCCCCCTCCCAGTGTTTCTGTTTCTCTGTCATGTGAGCACTAAGTAATAACAATACTATCTTATTTGAACACAGAATTTTTCTTCAGCACTCCTCAGCATTCACTTGGAGAACATGCATTGTGGTACCCGTTTTATAGATTGGGAAACTGAGGCAAAGTGAGTTGATAGCACGCATTGGGGCTCATCCTGAGGAGCACTGCAAAGACATTTCTGGAGTTCAGATCTCTTTAAAGCATTACCAATAGTTCAATACTCCAACTTACTCTAAAATAATGATCTGCTCTGCCAAGTCCCATGGGTGTTTCTTACATACACAGTGCTACTGAAGTCAACAGAAGCATTCACATGACTAAAGTGAGCAAGATTTTACTGATAGAGGAAATATTATTTTGCTAGGGGCAGAAATTTGCATTGCATATTTCCAAGATGTTATAAATTATATTGAGGAAATAATATTATTGAGCTGAGAATAATTCTGAGATAACCTTTACTACTGCTTTGATTAAGAGTATTCCTTATGAGTAAATGGTTCCACTCACTGGTGAGGAACTCAGCCATCACTAACTTAGGAAGTAGTTTGTTGCTGGAAGCCACCACTAAGACTGGTACAGTGACAATTTATGCTTAAGTAGCCCTAATCCACCCATAAGACAAATAAAGAGAGGGTCCTATTTAGGCAAACCGAGAAAACTGGGTTCTCGCAAAAGCATCCAGAATGATCTGGACTGGGTTTAGCAAAGCCCATCATGATACAGTCCTCGTCAAGAGCACATCTGTCTTCAGTAAACTCTCTAGTTTTCACCTGAATCTGTTTTCCTGAGTGCTCTCTCCACAGCATTGCAAGATCTGTAGTCTATAGTAACAACAGAATCATAGAATCATAGAATAGTTAGGGTTGGAAAGGACCTTAAGACCATCAAGTTCCAACCCCCCTGCCATGGGCAGGGACACCTCGCTCTAAACCATATTACCCAAGGCCTCATCCAACCTGACCTTGAACACTGCCAGGGATGGAGCATTCACAATCTCCCTGGGCAACCCGTTCCAGTGCTTCACCACCCTAACAGGAAAGAATTTCCTCCTTATATCCAATCTAAACTTCCCCTGTTTAAGTTTTAACCCATTACCCCTTTGTCCTATCACTACAGTCCCTAATGAAGAGTCCATCCCCAGCATCCCTATAGGCCCCCTTCAGATACTGGAAGGCTGCTATGAGGTCTCCACACAGCCTTCTCTTCTTCAGGCTGAACAGACCCAACTTTCTCAGCCTATCTTCATACGGGAGGTGTTCCAGTCCCCTGATCATTCTCGTGGCCTCCTCTGGACTTTTTCCAACAGTTCCATGTCCTTTTTATGTTGAGGACACCAGAAATGCACACAGTACTCCAAGTGAGGTCTCACGAGAGCAGAGTAGAGGGGCAGGATCACCTCCTTCAACCTGCTGGTCACGCTCCTTTTGATGCAGCCCAGGATACGGTTGGCTTTCTGGGCTGCAAGTGCACACTGAAGCCGGCTCATGTTCATTTTCTCATTGACCAGCACCCCCAAGTCCTTCTCCTCAGGGCTGCTCTGAATCTCTCCTTTGCCCAGCCTGTAGCTGTGCCTGGGATTGCTCCCACCCAGGTTTAGGACCTTGCACTTGGCATGGTTAAACTTCATGAGGTTGGCATCAGCCCACCTCACAAGCGTGTCAAGGTCCCTCTGGATGGCATTCCTTCCCTCCAGCGTATCAACCGAACCCCACAGGTTGGTGTCATCGGCAAACTTGCTGAGGGTGCACTCAATCCCACTGTCCATGTCAGCGACAAAGATGTTAAACAAGACCGGTCCCAACACCGATCCCTGAGGAACACCACTCATTACTGGTCTCCAGGTGGACACTGAGCCATTGACCACAACTCTTTGTGTGCGGCCATCCAGCCAGGTCTTTATCCACCGAGTGGTCCATTCATCAAATTGATGTCTCTCCAATTTAGAGACAAGGATGTCGTGTGGGACAGTGTCGAACGCTTTACACAAATCCAGGTAGATGACATCAACTGCTTTACCGCTGTCCATCAGTTCTGTAGCCCCATCATAGAAGGCCACCAAATTGGTCAGGCAGGATTTCCCCTTAGTGAAGCCATGCTGGCTGTCACCAAGCACCTTGTTGTTTTTCATGTGCCTTAGCATGCCTTCCAGGAGAATCTGCTCCAAGATTTTGCCAGGCACAGAGGTGAGACTGACTGGTCTGTAATTCCCTGGGTCATCCATTTTCCCCTTCTTGAAAATGGGGGTTATATTTCCCTTTTTCCAGTTGGGAACTTCACCTGACTGCCATGATTTTTCAAATATGATGGCCAGCGGCTTAGCAACTTCATTCACCAGCTCCTTCAGGACCCGCAGATGGATTTCATCAGGTCCCATGGACTTGTGCACGTTCAGATTTTTAAGATGGTCTCAAACCAGTTCCTCTCCTACAGTGGGCCCAAGGTCTTCATTCTCACATTCCCTCCATCTGCCTTCCAAGACTTGGGTGGTGCGGTCAGAGCCTTTGCCAGTGAAGACCAAGGAAAAGAAGTCATTCAGAACCTCAGCCTTCTCCAAATCCAGGGTAGCCAGTTCTCCCGAGAGCTTCCTGAGGGGGCCTATGTTCTCCCTAGTCTGTTTTTTATTTGGTATGTACCTGTAGAATCCCTTCCTATTATCCTTAATAGAAACACAGAATGGTTTGGGTTGCAAAAGACCTTAAGATCATCCAGTTCCAATACACTGCCACAGGCAGGGACATCTTCCACTAGACCAGGTTGCTCCAAGACCTGAGGTTTGGACAGTGTTGTTTCTCCTAGGTATAACAAGGAAGCCGTATATCAAGAGGGGCTATGAGGTGAGTTTATGGGTCCTGGTTTGGGGCAGTATCAGAATAAGTAGCAGGTTTAGAACATATCCCCTTGGGAAAACTGAGATGGTTCACAGAAACAGCAGCTTTCCTGGGGAAATCAAATTTCAAGACTGTAAAGTGAGTTGGGGGCTATGCTTTCCCTCGTGGTATGACAAGAACTGGCAGGGGAATGACTGGATGCATTTGGGGGTACTGGATTCCCAAGGGGTGGGTTTGCAGCTAGGAGTTCTGCAGTTATACAGAAAACTTTCCAAATGAGTCTCAAACGAGGATCTCAAATAAGGTTGGTGGAATCTACCTCTCCAGAGCTATCAGAACATTTTCAGGCGTTATCAGATGGGTGCGAGATGCCATGGATTCTTAGGGACAATATTAAGAGCAGCAAGTCTCCTGAACAGTGGTGTCAGGGATGTCTGGTCCCTGAGACTTAAGAGAGTAGCAAGTTTGCTGTGCCTGGGGTCAGGGCATTCCAGGTGTGTTCAGAGAGTTCAGGTCCTCTGGAAAAGACTTCATCAGACAATTGTTTGCTGGGGAAGCTTCAAATTAGTGTACATGGGACCAGGTCCTTTGGAGGTCACTTCACAAGGTACCAGGTACCCTGAAGGGTGTGTGGTGAGTTTGAGGCGTACCAGCTTCCCAGGACATGGGTTCATAGGCCACCAAGTCCCCTCAGAGATATTAGATGTATTCAGGAATTACCAGACCTCTTGGGGAAATTAAAGAGTGGTCTGAGGAAATAGGAGCTTCCCTCATGATAGGTTCAGGGCGTAACATGAGGAATATTAGGCAAGTTTAGGGGTACGAGGTCTGTTGGGGAGTTAAAGTCTGAGGGATTAAGAGATTCCCAGTGAGTGTCTTCGGGGGTACCAGTACCCCGGGGGCAGCCGGACAGGGCGCAGGGCACTGACGAGGCCCTGAAGCAGGCGGGGGGTGGGTATGGAGGTCCCGTTCTCAGAGGGGGGCACCTGCTATGGCAGGCCAGACTGGGCTGGAGGTTGTCCCGGGGCACTGAGGCTCCCGGGAGGCAGGGTGCACCGTGCGCCGCGCTCACCATGGGGTCCCTGAAAGAGCAGCCGGGCAGGAAGGGCAGACCCGGAACCGGCTGGGAGCTCATGGCAGCAGCGGCGCTCCTTCCCCGGCTCCGGCGACGCTGTCTCCACGGCAACCGCGGGTCTGCCCAGTGCGCATGCGCGAGGAGGGGTACGCGCAGACGCACAGCGACCAGCCCTCTTTCTGCGCCTGCGCTCTGATTGGCCGGGAGCGTTGCCGTGGCAACGGGAGGGCGCGGAGGGGTTCGAGGCCGCAAGGCCGGGCTGGGGCCCTTCCTCCCCGCAGCGCGGAAGAGGCAGTCCCGGGAGGTGTGGGAAGCGTTAATCTGCTCTCTTATGGACCAGGGTGCCGCCATGGCTCCCCTCCCAGTCAGGCGGGGCCTTTCAGCATCCCGCAGTGTAACCGCGGTGTTGTCTCTGCCAGGCCCTCGGCACCGCTGGTCCATGGCCGTGCTGTTAAAATCGCCTCCAAAACGGGTGGAGACATTCAGTTTGGGAGTTGTCTCTACCCTGTGCAGAGGGAGAAGCGCAGCTGTGGAGGGCCAGATCCGTACTTGGAGTGCTCAAAACAGTGTAACAGGAGAAGAGATTGTGCTAGTTTATTGTGTATGTGATATGTATGTTAGCTGGCAAATAGTGGCTTTTATAATACGTAGCACTGACGAAGTTCCTCTTTTGAACACAATTTTTATCTCTTTCTGAAGGAAGCAGCAAGAAGAAGCAGTGGCAAGGTGGGAGGGGGAAATCAAGGGGAAGTTGGTTGTGCAAAAAATCACTGCCAAATACAAGAGATAAAGGTATCTAAGTCAATCACCACAGAGGAATTAATGTTTGGTATGTGTCTCCCTTGGTCTCTTTATCAGCAGCACACAAGACAGGCTGGGCTACAATTCAAGGGCAGCAGGATCTTAGTTTTGTAAGCAGAAGCCAAGCAAAGAGAAGTGCAGCCAGACCGTCTCTCCAAGCATGATGTGGGAGAGAGAAGAAAGCCAGCCGGTGAGAGATAAAAAGTGAGTCTGATGGGCTTAGAAAGGAAAATAATAGATTGAAGGCCAAGCAGGGCTGAAAGATCTGAAAGACAGCAGGCTGCTGATGTGGCTGCTGACTCAGATGCAGGTGCTGGGACTGAAGCATGCTCTGATTTCTCCTGCTGGGATAGCCAAGCATCGTTCAGCAGGTTTCCTGAACTTCAGCAAGGACCAGGGCCTTCCTCAGAGAAGGAAACTTGCACCCATGGGCAACAGGTCATCCTCTGGGAGAGTGGTGGCAATTTAACAAGGCTGTGTGGGAGAGTGCCCCTGTGTACAGCTTGCAGTGGGGCAGGAGTGCTGCTCTCCCACTCTGCATGAATGGGGAAATAAGACCGGGAGATTTATCCAGGATCACGAAGTAGGTTCTTAGGCTCTCAAGTGTGAGCAGGGACAGGATCGGAAGACTATGGCCCAAGTACATTCTTCCTGGGTGTTTTAAGGAAGATGGGAATGAAGAAAGGAAGATTAAGAAAAGCCATAGCAGTAGCTGGTAGTTTGTTAAGAATAGTGACCATAAAGCAGGAGAAAGACATACTGGGGAATAAGATGTTGAAGTGCAATTCAGAAAATCTGGATTCAGCTGCATCGTTGGCATCAGCTTCTGTACAGGCAAGTCGACTTTCCAAGGTTAAGACAAGCTTCTTTAGGCTCCTACATCCTTACTGTCTACTCGCAAAAGGAAAAAGGAAGTCTTTATCCGGCTGTGCTTTCGTGGCACTGGAGGCCCCTCTGTGGCTACAGATGAAGGTATCTCGCCCTCTGCTGGGAAAAAACACAGCAGTATAGAAGCCTTGTTCTGGATGTTTTACTAAGGAATAATACTGAAAATTATTAGTATGGTGGTAACAAGTAAAAAATGTGGGGGTTTTTAGACCACTGAAATTCACACTGAAGGTGTATCCTGGAAGGAGTGGTATGTACCTGGTCACACATGATCCTCCTGATAAAGAGGGTTTAAACTAGTGACAAGGGAGAGTTACCAGCAGCCCTGTTATGGAATGATGGACAAGGCTGATGAGCAGAGGACCCGGTGTGATGTAATGGAAAGGGATCACGAAGTCAACAAAACAGGGCTTGAGAGGTGGGCCCTTGTGTTGAACAAGGCCAAGTGCAAGGTCCTGCACCTGGGGCATGGGCAGTCCCAAGCACAAACATAGGCTTGGTAGAGAATGGATCTAGAGCAGCCCTGAGGAGAAGGACTTGGGCTTTTGGTCGATGAGAAGCTCAACATGAGCCAGCAGTGTGTGCCTGAGGCCAGAAACCAAGTCCTGGGCTGCATCACCAGCAGTGTGACCACCAGGTTGTCAGAGGCAATTCTCCCCCTCTGCTTCTCTCTGGTGGATGATCTTTAAAGACCCTTCCAACCCAAACCATTCTATGATTCTATGAAGGATCAGGTGGGATCTTATCAATGTATATAAATACCTGAAGGAATGGTTCAAAGAGAAAGGGTCCAGGCTCTTTACAGTGGTGCCCAGTGCCAGGGCCAGAAGCTATGGGCATACACTGAAACACAGCAGGTTCCTCTGAACATCAGGAAACACTTTTTTACTGTGAGGGTGATCAAGCAGTGGCACAAGGTGCTCAAAGAGGTGATGGAGTCTCCATCCTTGGAGATATTCAGCAGCCACCTGGATGTGGTCCTGGGCAACTGGCTCTGGATGTTCCTGCTTGAGTAGGGGAGGATTGACCAGATGACCTCCAGAGATCCCTTCCAAACTCAACCATGCTGTGACTAAGCACAGCTACCAGCAAGAAAAACAGAAGCTCTAGCCTTATTCACATAGACTCACTGACTGATATCCTTTTGTTCATCAATGGTTGTCTCTTTAGCTTAATTTTAAGCATGTGCTGAAATGTTTTGCTTGAACAAGCACTGAATTCACAGCTTGGCCACTGAAGCTGCCAGGCCACCAAATCACTGACTACTCACCTCCAAGAGACAACAAAGAAAGCTGGGCACCCAGGTACTTATGTAGATAATGAACTTAAATCCCTCAAATCAGTGTCTGGGCAGCCATTCTGTACGTCTCTTGTGAAAAGCGAGTAAGATCACATAGTTACTGTGAAACCTGGAAAGTGCTTTGAGATGCACTTCTTCCTAATGACTCATGACCTGTTGTACTTGTGCATTTGGGAATTTCACACCACACCAATCCTTTTGCTTTTATAGATGGTTCTTTTTTTTCCACTAAGATTTTTAAATAACAATCAGTACAGTACAAAGCTTAAAATGTTGTCAGTGTTTTACACAATACAAAGTTAGCAGATGGAAGTTAGAAAGGGGATGGTTAATATGTAACACTCGTACCCTTCCCTGTTTCCCAGGGAAAAAATACAAACTCTTTTGTACTTCTCTTTAGTAACAGTGTTTAAAAATAATGTCAGTAAAAGATGTAAATTGCAAGGCACATGAGGAACCCGTCCTTGCCTTCTTACACAAACTGTTAGGCATAAATACAAGGTTAAGGCACGTCTCTCCATCCTCCCCTTCTGCTCTGGAGGGCACCAAGCAAATCCTGTCTGGATATTGGCTGCTAAGAGCAACCATGGACAAGCAGACAGCAACAAGGCTGCCTTTGCACCTCATCAGGTTCCTTCAGGATGAATCTCAAAAAGGAATAGCTTAAGGCACATTGGGATGAATTCTCAGGAGTTGTCCTCTATAGATCCAGGTTGCAGGATCTGCAAAAATACTGTCTCAGGACAGAGGTTCCTGGGGGAGAGGATTAGGACCTTCAGGATTTCAATGTGCTCAACTTTTGGTGGTCAGCTCATCATCAAACCCCACCACTTGTTCATCCCTCCCAGCCATGCCTCCTTAGAGGAATGCCAGGATGGAAGGGGGCGTGCTCCAAGCAGTAAGCTCCAGGAGAAAGCCCCGAGAGGCTCCTGGACAAGCTGAGCATTTATTGCAGCAGCACTTCTACTCTCTCTAGACCCAGCCTTGGTCTCCCCTAGATCAATGGCAGGATTTTCAGGAGTGCATCAGCAGCCATTTTTCAGTCCTGGCCCAGCTGAGGTGCAGTAGACTCCATGGCATGTGGAGTCTGCTCAGCCAGGCAACCAGATGCATAAGGCACAAGGATGAAGTCCAGGGATGTGGGAAAGAAATAAGCTGGTCAGAGGAAGAGGAGGATGGAGATAGGGATGAAGGAAGCTCCAGTGTTGGTGAGCCCCTTGTTACACAAGGGTGCATCCTCACAGCAGCAATCATCTGTATTGTGTTTCCCTGCTAAATCAACCCATCATAGTAACCAGGAGGTCAGCTCCAGGTCTGAGTGCAGGGCCATACCGGGACATGAGTGGCTTCACCTGAGGGGTAACATAAGAACACGTAAGAACACCACCACTGTCACACAGTTGCTCCAGAAGTTTCACTTCTGCTGGACCAGGGAGGAGAAAGCATATGACCAGAAACACCTCAGAAGAGCCATGTGGGAACCTCCTTTCCCTGACCCTGAACTAGATGGCATTACTGTTCTCACCCTTCTTTGACAAAGGTAGGACACGTAATCTATTCTCAGACCCTCAGAGAAGGAAATGGCTGGGTGATGCCTTCCTTTAGTACCAGTATAACTGTAGGTAGCAGCAGAGCAGGGTTTGCTATTAGCAGCAACTCCTTTTGGTTTTTAGCCCAGAAAGGAGCTCTGAACCCCTGTAGTTTACTACCCTTCCTGCACAGGAGCCCACTGATACCATCCAGCCAGGTTCACACTCAGTGGCTTACTCTGCTTTACCTACCACAAAAGCAATGCAAATTAGGCTGTGAGAAAAAAACACTGCTCCCACACAAGTCTTTCCCCAAACTGGGAGGAGACCCGCAACCAAAGCCATGGAGACTATGGAGAGAGCAGTACATCAGTGTGGCTAAGCTAGTTGAGCAACCAGCTACTGGGCAAGGAGCAGCTGCTTCTGGCCTCCGCACAGGCCCTTCCCTGCAGGCAGCAGTGTCATCCAAGTTTGCTGGCTGAAAGTTAAAACCAGCACAACATTACTGGCTTTTTTTCACTAGGATTGGTTTTCTGCTGGTCCAGCTCCCAGTACCAGCTTACTTTGTATTGAGATGAGCTTCTGTGCATGGGAAGGGCTATGGTGAGGTGTAAGTGGGGACCATCCCCACTTGCCACTCCCCTGAGGCAAATCTGCTGTTAGCAAAATACAACAAGTGAAATGAAGTCATTAATTTCTAAGCTGGACTGGATATAAACCACGAGGCCTAGAGTAATGGAAAAGGGTGGACTAGATGACCTCCTCAAGGCTTTCCTATGATTTCTTCTCCCATACTCAAAACTTACTTCCCTCCCCCTTTGTAATTAATTTGTCAACAGGGCCATGAATTTCAAATTTGTCCACAAAACACAGGACACAGCACAGCACCTATTAAGAAATCTGTTTTCAAAGACACTGTTGTCTGGCCCACCTTGTTCCTTCAGCAGCATAGCACTGTTCCCTTCAGCCTAATCTTGACCCAGCTAGGCGGCTTTGCAAATATAAAATCCAAAGGCAAAGCCTTTCTGGATAATAAATCACACACACATAAACACACACACACATATCTCAATAGTTAAAAACAGATCAAGTGCAGAAATCAGTGCCTGTCACAACAGATCATACCCCCAACCCTACACTGCCTGCTCAGAACCAGCAATCACAATTCATTTGCCTGCCCTTGGGATTCAGTGAGACAAATATGTGGCTGGAATAGATCCCATAGATTCCTTAGATGCATCAAAGATTTATATATCCTGGGAATTTGCCAGATGTCAAGGCATTTGAGGCTGCAGGTCTTGCATAGTGGGAGGAGCCGTGCCAGGGCCTACTATGGAAAGCAAGCAGTGGGTCAAACAGTAAGGTGTCTAGACTGCATAGGACCGTATCTCTGCATTGGCTCTGAGCATCCTGTCCTGCAAATGCTACCAACTTTGGTGCAACAGTGTGGCTCCATACCTGATATTCTCCTCAAACAAGCACAGAAGGGACTCATCTGGTGGAGGACACAGTAAAATTAACCCTTGCTACACTTTGGACAGGAGTGACCCACGGACATTAAGTGTCCCTGACTACTATCTTTGCTACTCCACACAGGAGTCACCACATCTCAAGGACAAACCCCTCCCAAAGTCCATAGAACCCTAATGTTGATACCCTGCTCCTGCCTTTTGCTGTTCTATCTTCACTTAGTGCTTCATTGTCAGCTTTCCCAAAAGGCCCACCAAGGACTGCTTGGTGTCCTGAAACCACCATTAAGAGGTGGATAAAGATTACTTCACTTTCATACCCTTTTGTCCACGGCCGCAGCAGGGCTGTTGGAGGTTCAGGGGCCAGATCCTTTCCTGCAATGGACAGCTCACACCCAAGTTACTCTACATTGCATGGACATGGAGGTCAGTCAGACTCCCTAGACAGATGATACTCTATGCAGGAATGAATAAACCTGTCACACAAGCAGCCAAAATGATGTACCCAGCATCAAAAGCATCTCCTCTGCTGGGGCCAGCTCCCTGAACACTGATGGTTCAACCTCTGCCAATGCCACCAAGGAAGGCTCAAACCCATCTCCAACCTGACCGAGGCCCAGCTCCTCCAAGGCACCTAAGCATTTAAAAGAGAAGTGAGGAGCTTATGAAGACCTCTCTTGTAGGCTAAGAAAGAGTCATCAGCATTGGCACCACATTAAGTCAAATTCAAACTGCTGAGAAAGACACCATCTCCTGTTAGTAATTCTTGGGATTGCCTGACTCCTTGGTTTGGATGAGCAGCTCCACTGAAGATGGTGCAGTCATACAGAAAGAAAAGATGGAGCTGACCTAACATCTACACCAGTCACTTGCAGACTTAATGCTCGAGTTGCAGTTCATTCTAGAGGACCCCAGGTCAGGGATAAGTCTCCAAACATGCTTTGCCAAAGCCTTCTCAGCAACTTGGTGTTGAGATACCTGACAAGGGGACCATAGAGAGAACCTGGCTTATCCCAGCTGGAGCAGGAAGAGGATTATACCAGCCACAGTGTCGCACATGCCCTTGCAACTGAACCATAGAAATGCAGATGTCTTCTGAAACCTTGCTACTGCCCTTGATAGTAACAGATCCCCAACAGATAGCAGAGATGGCAAAACCCAGTGAGGTCATCACATCCAGCTGTGGTCCTCATGGTGCATTCTCTGCTGTGTTGTGAGACCTGGCAGACCCTTCTACAGTCTCACAGCCTTCAGGCTGTCCTCCCTGACATTCAGCAACCTATTGCCCACAGGTTTACCAGAATGAACAAGAAACCTCTGCCTATTTCAGCATCCTTGGTTAAATGTTCTGGCTTTAAACCCATCCATGTCCCCCTGGATGGCAAAAAGCAGTCCCTGCTGTGAAAATGCATGTAGCATGAAGTCTCCAGCCTTCCACCCAAGTCCAGTGTCCCAGTTAGTCACAGTGTGTTAGGCAAATAAGACAGTTATGTCCCTAATACGTTATGCTCCTTGATTTTCACCCCCCAGTGATGTCATGCCCATCATGTTCATGACTCTCAGGATTCCTTTCTAGCCAGTACAGCCTTGATCCTGCACCGCAGGATGTAAGCTGTGACGGCACTGCAAGCCACCAGGCCAAAAAAAGAAATGCAGGAGAGATAAACAGAGAAAGGCCCATGTCTCTTCAGGAAAATCTCCTGCCTGTTCTTGTAATCCAAAAGAATAGCCTCCAGCTGTGATAGGGTGCAGATGGCCAGGAAGGCGTGAAAGATCTGGTGGGCATGACCAATGATATCGCAGGAGCCAGGGAAGTACTTCTCAGGGACAGGGCAGGAGAAGAAATAAGCACTGATAAGGAAAAACAGTATCTGGTACGTGTGGTACCAAGCAGCATCTTCCTCACAGCCCCCCAGGTGACACACAAACACCCGGTGAGCAACAGGACTGATATCCAAGATGAATGCCAGCCCAGCTGGGATCACCTGGCACATCTTCCTCATGATGGGGTAAGGCCGTCGGTACCGGTACTTTGCATAGCAGCAGCCAGCACAAGACAGCCAGCCACAGAAAGCGGCTGCTGGCAGGAAGAAAAGCCAGAACTTGTCATACCAGGCTTGATCGGAGCTGTAGTAGAAATGAGCCAGGGCACTACCATACTGGTAGATGCTGACTCCAACATAGTCCATGAAGTAGAAGGTGTAGTGGTACAGCTCTGATTTGGACTGCAGCAGGTGGGCCAAGAGGCTGCAGGTCAGGTAAGTGACAGAGGAGAGGACAAAGATGAGCAAAGGCAAGGACCACGCATCTACAGGCAACTGCTCAGCCTCCACAAATGTCTTGAACCTCAGCAGCACAGCCAGTGCTGCCAGGAGATGGGTCCACACATTGACCACCTCATTGTGCTTCTGGAAGAGACTAAGGAAGTAGTACCGCCAGTCCTGGCCAGTGGGACGGTACCCGGTGTGGATGTATGGCTCACGGAAGAGCTGCGGCACCTCGCACTCTTTGACCGTGCAAGGCATCTTGGGGAAGCCATCCTCCATCAGCCTGGGCAGACGGCTGAGGTGCTGCCCGCTGAGGGACAGCGTGCTGATCCGCTCCAGGATGGCTGTCATCTCGCAGAGTGCAGCAGCTCTGAGCCCAGATCTGGGGAACGTCGTCTTCGTGCCCTGTAGGGAGGGAATAAAGAAGAAATGTTAACAGAGATGGATTGGGAAGAAGAGTGTGCTGCTCCTCCTGAGTGGGATGAGCCATGGTGCTATCAAGATGCTGCTCCTGCTCTAAGGGAAAGGGGCTTTTCTGAACTCCACAGAACTAAATTCAGCATGGAGAAGGATTGCACAGCCCTGTCCCTGAAGTTCAGCCGATGAGCACAGCCATGTCACAAGCCTGCCCTTTCTTGGGCACTCAGCTTGAAGCATCTTCAGGAGTAGCCAGGAGCTGCCAGTAAGGAGATGCAAGAAGCAGTTAGATGTCAAGAAAGCACCTGATGATTTGCAGAAGGGACTTTTCACCCCTTTCCCTAGAAAAAATTACTCAAGGACAAAACTGGGGTGTAATTACTCATCTATGGAATAACCTGGCTTTCTGCACCTGACTGAAGAGAGTCCCAACTAAATCATGGAGGTTGCAAGTAAGCTCGGCTTCTCTGCCACACAGCTTGCACATGGGGCTGCTATAGTGAGTTCAGCAGAGAGAGAAGGGGAGAAGTCCACAGTCCTAAACCTACAGGTGTAAGAAGCAGTGATGGAGAAACAAGAGGCTCCGCATCAGAGCTGGATGCAGTTTGGGTACAGCATCGAAGCTTTGGGAGCATCCACAGAGTCATGCAGAGAGGCTGTGATAAGATGTGCCTGTATGCTCAGAGCAGCCAAACCCCAGTGCTGGGCACTCCTCTGCTCTGCTCCTTGGCAACATCCAGAGTTGCTAAGCTCTGATAGGAAGGTTCAGATTCAGGGCACAGCCGGATCCTATTGTCTGGAGACTACCTTGCAGCACTGAATTAATTCCCAATACCCTCTGTTTCCCTTCCACCCTAAATATTTCTCTTCCCTGATGGTGTTTATGCCACACAAAACGGAGAACTTATCACACAGATGCCCCATGCTTAAGCCAAAATCAATGTTGATGGAGCCCCACCAGACTCTGTAGGGCTCTGGTTACTCCTGTGCATCCAACACATACATGTTTGCATGAGGGGACCTGACCCCTAAGCTTACATGCGTGCAACCAGAGCTGCAATGGATGGAGATGGCCAATACTGAGTAAATGCAAACTATTTTGCCTGAGTGTGGTAAACAGTGTATTTTTCTTCTGTTGCATCAGGTACCAGCTGCTGCTAGAGGTGGGACAGAGGAATAGTTTGCATGGCCACACAATGGGAGACCCAAGCTAGGCTGGCAAGACTGCACAAACAGCAAAGTCAGAGCAGGCACTGAAGCAGGTTGCAAGTCCCACTTCCTCTTGCAACCCACAGCCTCTGATGACAGACAACATATTTTCACATTGCTTCCACATATTCTAGCAGACGGGAATTGTCATAATCAAGTTACATTTTCCAGCCAATTTTTTCTCTCCCTGCACTTTCCACGTTTTCTCCCTTAGCACCTCTCAGGGCTGGTTTTGCTTGAGGTTTTTCTCCTTGTTTGCCAGCAGCTGATAGAGCTGCCATAGCCAGAGAAGGCAAATCAGGCCCTGCAAATGGTATTCAGTTTCACAAATGGGTAAGACTGAAGACAGCATCCTTGCTGGGGAAGGCTGATGTTGCGCTCCATCCCTGGCAGTGTTCAAGGCCAGGTTGGACGGGGCTTTGAGCAACTTGGTCTAGTGGAAGGTGTCCCTGCCCATGGCAGGGGTTTGGAACTGGGTGAGCTTTAAGGCCCCTTCCAACACAAACCATTCTGTGATTCTATGATCCTGAGATCTGACCAGAAACTGGCTGGAGGCTGAGCATGTTGGGATGGGAAGGACAGGGACATTCTACAGATATCTGTACTAACAGTGTTTGATCTCCTAGTTTAGATGTGCACACAAGAGCTCTGTTCCCATGCTCACTGCATCTCCTTCACTGCATCAAGACCGATACATTTTCCAGCTGATGATATCCAGGCCTTACACACAGGTTTTGCCCTATGCAGAGGTGTGAGTACAGACTCTGAAGTGCTTTGTGTGTCTAAGCTACTCTGCCATGTCTGTTAACCTGCCATCATGTGTTTCACACCTCTCCCAGCACTTGCTCTGATGTAACCCAAACAACATGGCTTGGACCCCCATTCACCATCTCGCAGCTTCCCTTTAACTAAGCATGGTTCAAGGATTTGGGCCCACTAAAGGGGGCTCAGTGCTGAATCTTTTCCCAGTTCATCCCAGCAGGATGCTGGAAAACTATCCAGAAAGGTATTTAGGCACTGCTGTTGGAGATAAGGATCATGGTAGCAAGGCACAAGGAGAAAGAGCATGCCGAAGCTCCCTACCTCTTGGAGAACACAGACTAATACCAGTGTGGACTCCAGGACATCAGAAATCGAAAAACAGCTCAGATAGGGCACAAACAGGGTAACTGAGCATCACAGGAGCAGCACTGGAGTGCCCATCTGCACAGAGGCAGCAATACACTGAAACCTGCCTGTAAAGAGCAAAGGCAACAGAAGACGTGAGAAGACAGCAATCAAGCCTGGGCATATGGATACATGCCAATATGAGGGGCACACTGGCCCCTTCCACCATCCATGGCCTGCCTGCTCTGCATGCTGACAAGGATACAGGAGAGACAGGCAGCTTGTACCAGGCACAGGCTGGCTCCAGCATGTATGGTGTGTGCTAGCACTCGGATTTTGCCATGATCCCTCATCTCAAGTGCTCAGTGTATACAGGGAGCATCAAGCCTGAGCAGAGCTAGGGAAAGGTTAGATGCTGCACACCTCCCTCCCAGCAGCAGGCAGGATTGATTCTCCCAGGCTGCCTTTCATAGCTGGCAAATCCCAGTTTGTAACAGACCGAGGGAGGGTCAGAGATATTCCAAATCATAGTCCAAAGTCACAAGAAACACATCTGACACTCGGATAAACAGCACTGAATCACAAACCTGGTAGAGTGCTTATTTCAAACCAAACTGGTGACAATAATGTGTGAGAACAAGTTGGCAATTCCTAGTGATCATGTGATGGACAAAGCTACGAGCAATTAACGTTAGAAAAGAGAACGAAAGAAAGGGAAAAAAAACCCCAACCCAGAAACCCAAGGTCAGCACTGGCTGTTTCACTTTCACAGAGCCCCTATTCTTTTCCCTTCACAGGGGCGTAGGAGCAGCTGAAAGCCACATTCATCAGCAGGGCGTCTCGTTGAGATTCTGTCCTCACCCCCCATCTCCGGGGGATTCAGTTATTTTGGCTGCTCCCAATTAACAGCAACCAAGTATCGTTTGTTCAGGGAGGGAGCTGCAAGGCAAGGAGGAGGGAGTGGATGGTGTCCAGGCTGGATCATTGCAGCCACAATAAGAACCATGGCACAAGAGGAGAACGATCCCGTTCCAATTTTTCCTCTCCCTTTTGAATGGAGTAATTGGAAACCCGAGCTTTTTCCCAGCTCTTTTGATTTTTGGTCACAGTCTGATGGAGGGGATTGAATGAGAATGTTTCCTACAGAGGATGCCTGATTTTCCCACCAGGCTGGCCTCAGCATTAACTGTCTGGGACCAAGGCTGTACCCGTGTGATGTATTTGCTTGCAGACTAGTATTCAGGCATGAGAGTTTGACACAGACTTCCAGAAAGGCAATAATTCCTGGTAAACAAAGCAGAGAGGACCATGGAACTCAGCTGTGCGGAAGTCTTTAATAAATGCATTGCATTTGAAACAGAAAAAAAGAAACAGTGTTTGTGGACAGGATTAAAATAACAGTAGTGATGGTGCAGCAGTGGGCAACAAAGTGGGTTTCAGAGCTGCAGGTGATTAATTCCTGGGAGTTGAGCAAAAGTCCCTGGAGGGATTCCAAGTCATTTTGAAGCGTGGAATTTTATTCTCACCCCTTCCTACACAGAGCCAACTTTGGCATTGCAGGATGATAGACAACAGTTCAGCTTCATCTCCTGGGCTGGGAGAGGCTGCACCAAGGCTACACTCAGCTCAGTGATGCAGTGGGTATGCCCCATCCCAAAGCCTGCTGCCTGCAGACTGGTTCTCCCTGAGCTCAAACATCCCCTTCTATAACTAAACCATTTGAGGAGGGCTCAGGGCAAACTCTGAAAGACCAGCTTGGGAGCACAGTGCCAGCTCCTCCATCCCATTCTGCCTGGTGTTTTGAAAAGGCTCCACCAGATAGGAGAAAATAAGAGACCCCCAGCTCAAGCAGCAGCTCCTGTGTAGTCTTCATACTACCTGCTTCCTTCTCCTGCCATGGGTTTAGGTGCTAACCTTCCTCCTAACTGCAGCAGATGCACATAGCATTCAGATCCCCTCTGCAGGGTGTTACTGGGATTTATATATCACAGAGGTCAGAAACTGGAAGAGGTGGTGTTTGATGGTCTGCGCCAGGGACAAGCCTTGCCCAAGCAGGCAGCAGGATATGAAGGACTGACTTAACTACACTCCAGCATTGAAAACATGGAAATCCCCACAACCAGAGAGGGATCAGGTGCTTGGGACTTACATGAATTGGACCTCCCTGTCTATTAAATGTGGATACCAATCCTCATCTGCCTCATAAGAACTAGATATTGTGCAGTTAACACACCACTGTAATGCACCAGGCAGTGCTGGGACTAGTTAACAGTGCCTTGCACAGAATATTTTATTTCCCTTGACACACTTACATACTCAGTTACATCTACATCAGCCCAAGGGGTGTATTACAAGCACTCGTCCAGCAGGGACCTGCATAGGTGACAATGCTCTGGAAGGTAAAAAGTGATGTGATTTACTGGAGACATTGAAGGGCAAGCATTAAACCAGCCTCATCTGCTAAGAAAAAGGGTCAAAATAACCTTATGGAAAACTTCAAACAACAGCATATGGCTCAAACTCTACCTTTCTGTATACACATATACACATGCACAGCATGTAGCAAAGCAGGGTTTGTCCAAGCATGTATGAATCAGGAAACTAATGTCTCGTGATGCTGGGAGATGAGCCACTAAAGCTGGCTGGAGATGGCAGGATCCCCCACTGAAGCCATGGCAGTGTCAGCTCCCCTGTGATTTCTGGCCTGGAAACAAGCCAGGCCAGCAGCCAGCTCAGCCGTGCTGAGCAGCAAGTGCCTCTTGACATGGGCTCAGCGTTGCCTGCGCATTGGGACTGGTCCAGGGGATGAGAGCAGAGGAGCCAGCACAATGAACACTGTGCTCCGAGGGGACAGAGCAAAACAAAGCTGCTGGCAAGCACTGTGTGTCTGCAGCAAAGCTGAGGGGGTCCACAGTATCCCAACAAGGAGGAGGAGCCCCTGAGTCCTGTGGTGTTTGTGGAAGGAAAGAAGGGCAGTGGAAAGCCAAAGCTAGGAATCCAAAGGCCTGATTAGGTTGCTGGCTTTATTGTGAGAGCCGAAACCTCAAGCCAGGCATCACGTGCAGGGGTCTAATTTTCACAGTGTTGAGCCCTTGGTTCTGAGATCAGCCAGCCTGGCTTGGTCGCTCCAGTGATGCTACACCTTTGAAATGGGTGACTACACATGAACTGTCTGCTGGGAACAACTCCTGGACCATGCTAACTACCAAACCATACTGGGGAACAGTGTGGGTCACCATGGCACATTGCTGATTTGCTGCCATAAACACAGATGCATTTTCTTTATGCCTAATCAGGGTTAAAGCTTGGTGATGCTACTGATACAACACAGCCAATACACAAAAAGTGTGAAAAAAGAAAAGCATATGGAGCACTAGGGAGATGCAAAAATGTTAATATTAATTATTTCTACCCATAGACCCTGGCTGAGAATTACCTCCTCTGGCAAATCCATCCCTCCTGTATCAAAAATTGCTCAAGAACAGGGTAATACTCTGCAGCTTTTCTCCCTGATCTCACTAAAACTTTGCTGTTTGCATATCCCAGATTGGCCCACCACTTTCTTTTCCTGCCCACAACTAACACAGCCCCCAGTGCTTTGGGGCTCCATTTCAGGTAGGTGTGAGATCCCTGGCTGGAGCACCCACATTTACAGGCTTTGAGTACATGCAATTAAACAAGTCCAGGACACAGTCCCAGTCAATGCCCTGCACCATCACGCTGCTGAAACGTTAGCACACTCTGGGGCACGGTTTTGGTCCAGCTACCCACACTGGTCCCTGGCTGCTGTATTCAGTCATGCAGGGACCACCGACAAGAGTGGGATGACTGCCTCATTTCAGATGCCAAAGGTGGATTTGTGCCAGATAAGTGCCTGTTTTTTGTTCCCTCTCTCCCTGCCTCCACCACTGACTGAAAAAGGAGCCTGGATAGGGCAAGGGGAAATGGCTTTATAATGAAAGAGGGGAGACTGAGATGAGACCTTAGGCAGAAATTGTTCCCTGTGAGGGTGCTAACGCCCTGGCACAGGGTGCCCAGAGAAGCTGTGGCTGCCCCATCCCTGGCAGTGTTCAAGGCCAGGCTGGATGGGACTTGGAGTAACCTGCTCTAGTGGAAGGTGTCCCTGCCTGTGGCAGGGGGCTGCAACTGGACGATCTTAAGGTCCCTTCCAACCCAAACCATTCTGTGATTCTATGATTTGTTGTAGCAGCATCCCACTTCCACCTCCGAAACTTCCTCCTGCAAGGTCTGTGGGATACGTTATCCTTCCCTTTGACGCCAAGTAGGTGTGCACACACCCTGCAAGCACAGCATTTCTGTAGCCAATTTGCCTACCTAAGAGGTCACTTCCGTGAGCTTTTCACAAAGCCACAGGACCAGCACCAGGTGATGGTGCAAGTCTTTCAGTGCAGATCTGCTGGAGATGAGAATCCTGAAAGCACAGGGCGACCTCAACAAGCCAGGAAATCCCTCCCTGCTCACATCTATCTGCAGATGGGACATCCCAGGACCCATCTGCCTGCAGGCAGTGCAATCAAACCAAACTGGCTGTGCCCTTTGTGGGGGCCCGCACAGTTGCCAGAATATCCCCCAGAGCCTAGAGGCTGAGGCTGCTCTTAACTTTGCTGTCATCTGCAAAAGCCTCCTGCACAAAAACACTGTCTTAAGGTTGTGGATTTTAGAGCTTCGGTCATTAGACAAAAATGTATATAAATCATGCACACCACTGCTGGCGCTGCGGGTAGAGGGCAGGCTGCCTGGGAGAGACCACAGCTCCCTGCCAACCCCCTGGAGCTCACAGCTTAAAGTCTTTGTCCCCACCCCAGTTCTCCTCCTATTTAACCCCATGGACTCTCCCAGTGAGCTTCTATGTTTGCAGTGGCAGCGTACTGCCTGTCCAGGGGGCTATGAAGCACTGAGCAAGGGCCAGCAGGGACCAGAGGGCAGATTCCCCTCCAAAAGAAGGGATGCAGGCTATGTTGCATCCACATGCTTACATCCCTACTCCATCACAAGAATTTGCAAGGGGGTAAAAAGCAACTGGGAGCAAGCTTCCATTTACTACTGCCTGTGCCTGAAGGATGGAGGCTATAAGGTATGGCCACATACATACAGCTGCAGGCCAAATCATAGAATCATAGAATAGCTAGGGTTGGAAAGGACCTTTAGATCAAGTTTCAACCCCCCTTCCATGGGCAGGGACACCTCACACTAAACCATGTCACCCAAGGCTTTGCCCAACCTAGCCTTGAACACTGCCAAGGATGGAGCATTCACAACTTCCTTGGGCAACCCATTCCAGTGCCTCACCACCCTCACAGTAAAGAACTTCTTCCACACAGACTCAAAGGGGCTTCCCAGGAATTTATTTCTCTGGAGGCATTTTTTCAGCATAAACGGATACTGGGATGAAAGGGCCACTGAACTGACCCCAGGAGCAGGGTAGTCACATACACTGGCAGCTAAAAATTAAGCTGGTGAATGACTCAAGACGTGCAAGTAGCTGCAAGTGCACACATGTGACTGATGATGTCCTCAGCCTCTGTCATACTGCTGGCATGTCGCTCGCACCGGCCATCCCTCCCTGCATCCAGCGGGATGCAACCTCAGCCAGAGGCTTTAGTGTAAATAAAAGCGATGATGCCCTGAAAACAGGGAGTCCTGCAGCGCAGGGGCTGTTAACCCACACCTTTGCAGGCTGAGCAGGAGGAAATGTATAATGGCTTGTGGTTTGGCTCGATGAGCCCATGGGTTTCTAGGAATTGTTTGCATGCAACACACCTCCCCTGCACCACAACATGAAGGCAGGAGCCAGTATAATTCACTGCTGCCCATCCTCTCCCTGCCACAGCAGAGAGCAAAACAAGACTTCAGACCTGCTAGTTTTCACTCCAGCAGAGCACTGCATACGTGCTCCATCCTTCTTTATGCCCTTTTCATGACTTCACCCTTTTTCAATGACCAGGGCAGCACAACATCCCTCTTCATCAGAACCTCCTATGAGCCCTCCCGGGGCTGGCAATCCCCCAAATAACTGCACCTAAAGCACACCGGGGCATTTCCCAGCTCTGAAGTGATGCTCCCACAGCATCTGCAACATACACAAATCTCAGAGAATCACAGAATGCTTTGGTTTGGAACATACCGTAAAGTTCCAACCCCCTGCCATGGGCAGGGACACCTTCCACTAGACCAGGTTGCTCCAAGCCCTGTCCAACCTGGCCTTGAACACTGCCAGGGATGGGACAGCCACAGCTTCTCTGGGCAACCTGTGCCAGCGCCTCAGCACCCTCACAGGGAAGAACTTCTGCCTAAGATCTAACCTAAATCTATGGCACAGTAAAAAGCCAAGTGCTCTGGCCAAAGCAGCCTGGAGCTCCACACTTATCAAATGAGCACTGGGCACAGGACCATCGTATCCGTGGTATTTCCCAGCTCAGCAGAGCTACTAGGAAGCTCTGTACCCAACATTGCTCATGCCGAACACGAGTCATTTTGAACTGACACTGAACAAATAAGTGTTAAATGTTTATCCAAACGTATATAGATAGATATTGCTGTCAGTGAAAACCAGAACAGTTCAAGCCTGTTGACAGGCTTTTTTCACCAAAACAAATTAAGATGCTTATGGCGCTTTCAGCCCAGACAAAATCCACATGGGATAAAGAGGGAACATGACCATGGATCCCCAAAATGTCGTGGAGAACATAAACAGAGAACGACCCTTCACTGACCCTTATGGGACACGAGCTGGGGTGCGTCAAGCGGAACGGGCAGGTAGCAGCTCCAAAGCAAACAGCAGGAGCTGGTTCTTCACCCAGCTCACAGCTAAACTATGCATCTCCTTGCCACGGTCTCCACAACACCCCAGGGGTCAAAGTCACGCAAGGAAAACTACCCACAGCCATGAAAAACAAACAGCGGAGGAGAATCACTGCCCACCTCCCTCCGTTGGGAAGCCCTGGAGATGCAGGTCACGGCAGCCTGCAGGGAACTGACGGCAATAGGCAATGTGTCCCCGCACACTCCTCCCCTCTGGACGCTCTTACCCGGGCCCCGACCCCAGCCCCACGGACCTCGGTTGTGTGCGGGTGTGTGCGTGGGAAGATCACACATCACTCCGCACCTCAAGGTCTACTCGTGATCCACCCCCCGCCCTCAGGGTGTTCCCCATGCACCGGCCCTGCGGACCCGCTCCCCGCGGGGAAGGATGCTCCTCCCGCGGCGGGATGCGATGCGATGCGATGCGATGCGTGCGGTGCGGTACCCGCGCGGAGCTCACCGCGGATGGGAAGCGCCGTGCAGGGTCCCGCACGGGCGCTCGGCGGGGGCTCCCCGGGGAGGGGAGGTGCCCCGAGGAGGGGAGCGGCGGCCGTGCCCGCACTCACTCTCACTCACACTCACTCACTCACATTCACACTCACACTCACTCACATTCACACACTCACACTCACACTCACCGCCGCGCTCTCCCGCCGCCAACACCGACTCCCGCGGCCGCCGCCTCCGGCAGCACCGCTCCCGCCGCCCAACCCAGCGCATGCGCGACCCGCCCCGGGGTGGCCCCGCGGAGCCGAGCCCAGCCGGGCTCAGCCGAGCCCAGCCGAGCCCCCAGCCAAGCCCCAGCCAAGCCCAACCTAGCCCAAGCTGTCCAACCAGGATAAACCAGGGCTCAAACTACGGGGAGCGCCCACACCCGGTCACCCCCGGTGTTCCTGCGGAGCTACAGATCTGGAGGGGGCAACTCCTGGGGGGACATCAGGAGGGGGGCATAAAGTCATTGCAGGGTGGGTGCTGTGGGAAGGGACCTCCGGAGGTGGCCTGGGACAACCCCCTGCTCAATCAGGGACACCCAGAGATGGTTGCACAGGACCGTGTCCAAATGGGGTTTGAAGATGTCCAAGGATGGAAGTCACATGGAGGGGGGTTCATGGATGGAGATCTCTGACAGTGGAGATTCTGTCTTCAGAGTAGGAAAGACAGGACCATAGGCACACACTGGAACACAGCAGTTTCCTCTGACTTCTTCACTGTGAGGGTGACCAAGCCCTTGGCACAAGTTGCCAAAAGAGGTGATGGAGTCTCCATCCTTGGAGGTCTTCAACAGCCATCTGGATGTGGTCCTGGGTAATTGGCCCTAGGTGGTGGCCCTGCTTGAGCAGGGGGTTGGACCCGATGACCTCCAGAGGTCCCCTCCCACCCCAACCATGCTGTGGGTCTGAGCCGAGGAGCTCACAATGCAGCAGAGGTCAGGGAGGGCTCTGTGCTGTGGCGGGCAGTGATCGCTGGAGCTCATGGTTTCCAGCCGGGACTGTTAGGACAGTGCTGTCAGATAAGACAGTTCCTAGTCCAGAGAGCTGTTCTCATGCTACCCCCAAGCTGACCCAATAAGCGTAAAAATTAGGGAAATGGGAGGGAAAATAAAAGTGCCGCTGCCGACTGCCCAGTTCCTGGGCTCCTGTTTGGGGCAAACCTCCTGATCTGGCTGCTGCAGACATACAAGCATGGAGGAGAGAGTGAGTCTCCCCGCGATTTGCAGCCTAAAGACAGTACAGCCTTGAGTTAACTGCTAGCACCAAAATCTGTGCGTTTCAGAAAAGAGGCATTTACACCCAAATGCCCTTTCAGGAGTGGTCTGTGTGTCCTTAAGCTATGCCTGGAAAATGTCTGTGAGAGGTTTATGCAGCCTGGACTGAACTATGCTGAAATCACATCAGCAGGTTCAGCTGTGAAGTCACCAGGTTCCCAAGAGTGGGTTAATTTATGAGTATGGACTACTTGTTTCCCCTCTCCAGTCTCCATGTCAGCTTGTTTATGTGGGTTTTGCTTCTCCAGCCTGTCAGAACGGTTATATTTTTGATGGGTTTATGAGGCAAACAGAAGCACTGCTTGTGCTGCAGAAAGAGGATCGCAGGACAGGCAGCCCAGGAATGCGACTTTCTGGCTCCAATAAGACAGAAGCTGTGGCTGCCCCATCCCTGGCAGTGTTCAAGGCCAGGTTGGACAGGGCTTGGAGCAACCCGGTCTAGTGGAAGGTGTCCCTGCCCATGGCAGGGGTTGGAACTGGATGAATGTTATGGGCACAGTATCACAGTATGTTAGAGATTGGAAGGGACCTCAAAAGATCATCTGTTTGGGGGGTGTGGTTTCCAACCCAAACTATCCTGTAATTCAGTGAAATCTCCAGGGGTGCTCAGTGGCTGTGAGATGGAGGTCAGGGCATAGCTTTTCTTCTTCCACCTCTTTTACCATCACTGTTCAGATTGAAGAAATGACTTACATGAGAGAAGCTGTATGCTGGTGATGGCCATGGCAAGGCTGGAGATGGGGTGGGAAAGAAAAATACAACCCAAGCAGAAGTAGATGGTGGGGTGGGACATCCCTGCTGCAACATGCACATTGCAACATTGCTGGGTCGCCTGCCCTTCTGTTTTGCTCCTGTGAAAGGTTTTTCCACATGTATCATCATGGCATGCCCCAGGGCATGCTGGAGAAAGCCAAAGGGTATGGGGTGACTGCTCTCTTGGGTGGGTGCTGAGAGCTTGTTCTGCACACCAAGCTTGGTGGATGCTGTACAGTGAGACCTTTCTGATCACTGGCTCTATGACCTGCTCTGTAGCTTCCAAACTGTACCCTATAGTTAATCTCAGACCTATCCTCCTGCTCTGCACTGCCTGGTACTTACTCCCTATCTTCGACGTCTTACACACTGAAATGAATCACTCAGTTCCCGTCCAGGCAAAACCCAGGTGTGGTTGTGTTTGCCCAGGAGGTTACTCCCAGCGGGCAGTTAAGACTAGGTTGTACCAGGCTAGGCTCTCCCTACGCTTTAGTCATCTGATATAATTCAAGCAGGCTTTGTGCCCTCAAACATATCCTGCATGCTCTAATTCCCCACACAATATACACCAAAGGATCACAGAATGGCTTGTGTTGGAAGGGAACTTTAAAGGTGTATTGGGTTTGCGTGGAAAGGTTTTGGTAGCAGGGGTACTACAGGGGTGGCTTCTATGAGATGCTGCCAGAAGATTCCCCCATGCTGACAGAGCCAATGCAGTCAGCTCCAAGGCAGACCCACCACTGGCCAAGACTGAGCCCATCAGTGGTGTTGGGAGCACCTCTGGGATAACATGTTAAGAAGGGGAATGAAATTATGCTGTGCAACAGCAGCTGGAAGAGATGAGTAAGAATATGTGAGAGCTGCAGCCCTGCGGACACCAAGGTCAATGCAGAAGGAGAGGAGAAGCTGCTCCAGGTGCCGGAGCAGGGATTCCCCTGCAGCCACTGTGGTACAGCCCATGGTGAGACAGATTGTGCCCCCACAGCCAGTGGAGGTCCCCAGTCATGCAGATAACCCTCTGCAGCCCATGGAGGACATGCAACAGCACTCCTCTTGTTTTTGGTGCTTTGAATTATCACCCAAAAGTCAAGCTTATTTTGGGCATTGGTGTCTCTCTTCACCAGGATGCATTCAAACACACGGCGTCCACACTGTGCTGCTCAGGAGGAACACACAGCTTTGCACTGAAGACAATGGAGATTCAAAACACCAAACAGGATACAGACAGCAGGATGCGTTACCTTTTCCCTGTATTTGCTTGTAATAAAGAATATTGACATATTGTTATCGTAATTGAGTGAAATGAGAATTTTGGTGTCAATTGAACTCCCTTCTGTTGGACAAGAATGGATGCTCATGGTTTGGCAAGTTCTAGCAAAGATTGTGCAGCTGAATAACACTGAGGATGGCATTAAAAATGTCAGTTTGGGAAAGGATACAAACCTTCTTGCTTCAGAGCAGTATCTGCAGCTAACAGGGCTCAGGAGGGAAAGCTCTTTGTGATCCCTAACTTTTATTGAGGCTGTTTTTTTTTATCTTCCTCCGTAATGACACACATTGGTGACTTTCAGGGTGCTGGGTTACATTCATCCTTTGCAATTGTGTTGAATCCTGCTTATATGCTTTATATAACTAATAATCAGAAGAAAAACATCCCTAAAACCCCTTACCAAGTCCAGCTCTTGCAATCACAGAGAAGCACTTGACACAGCTAAATTTGCCACCTTCTGCCGCTTCCCCTATGTTGCACAAGTGGTATGTGGCAATTTGGGGCTAAGACTTTCCAGCCTCCTCGTGGTTTGCTTGGGACAGGGAGCCCATCCTGACAGTCACATGATGATTGCTAATGTGGCTTACACAAATTGCTGCAGCTTCCCATCTTCCAAAGCTGGACATCACTCACTGAAGTGACCAGTGAATCCTGCCCCGTGGCTGAAAGCAGATCCTACAGATCCTGATGCAGCGGTGATGATGCTGTGCATACAGATGCCTCATTCCAAGGCTTGGGGGTGAAGAAAAAGTGGGGGGAAAGAACTAAAAAAGGAACTAGCTGTCACTGCCTTTAGTAACAACCAGACCTCACAAGAGCAGATGAGCAGACTGAAATAGCATCACCAGACCTCAGGCGTTCTATATCTGGGTGCTTCAGGCTTCCCTGGGAACGCTGGGTTGCCCCATTGTGGAGCCACGCTCCCAGCTGTGCTCTCCAGAGCTTTGTTGATTGAGCTACTCCTCCAGTTTTGCTTGCCGGGGGAATTCATTCTTCATTATGCCTGGGAGCATGGCCTGTGTGGGTTTGTTGTGGTTTTAATTAATGGCTGTGTTTTTCTTCCCCGCAGTAGGGGAAGAGAATGAATTACCCATAGGATCTGGGGAAGCTGTGCATCAGAAGCAGGACCACAGGAAGAATCCATGCTCCCATCACCCTGTGAGCAGCATCTGGGAGGGAAGGCAGATCTATGTGTGCCGGGCTCCTGCTCTGGGAAGCAAGGAAATGGCCACAATCCATCCTAACACACTGAAGGTCAGAGTATGAACTTGTTACCCACTTCCCTGTGCTCTCCTGGTGAGATTAAAGCAACTCCCCATGCATTTATGTGAAGAAATTCCATTCATGCACACTGATGGCTGCTTTCTGTGTTTTAATTCTCCACAACTAGATCAGTTTAAAGATTTACCAGAGTGCCTGGGAACAGCAAATACTTGAAGAAAACAACGTCAGAAATGCCCATGCTGGGTGCAGGTGCGACTGGGTGAAATGCTCCAGCCTATGTTAGGGAAAAGGTCAGATTAAAGGATTAAAGAAGGTTCCTTCAGCATTAAATTCTGTGTCTTCCACATGTGGTCCTGAAGTGGTGAGAGTCAGGACAACTCTCCTCTTGTGAGAGTGTATTCCTTGGCTGGGGTTCAGTTCCTGCAACTGCAGCTGCAGGAGACACCAGCAAGGACAAACTCTTTTATCCCTTGGAAAACTAATAAAAACATCCCATAGTCGAGTCTTGCTTCTCCACATAGTGTCAATTATAGAAAGTGACATTTTTTTCATTCAAAACTTCTCATTCCATGTTATTATCTTTCCATCTTATTACAAATATATTGGAAACCTCAACTCCAATGCATTGCTGGATGATAAGGTGACCCTCCATGGAACTTGGGGTACTCTCCCCCCATTTTTGGAGCTGCAAATGAGGCACAAGCCTCTCCTCTGCCCTCTGTGGGTGAGATGAGGTTGCTCAGCACACAGGAAAGCCAATGGATGGCAACTTGAGAATTCAGCTGTGGCTTGAAAAGTGACTTTTGGTTGAACTAAAGGGAAAAGCCCACAACAGAACAGAGCCTTGGAGGGATCACAGGGTACCCACAAAGGGTTCTCAGACACCAAGCACACACGCAGATGCTGACACACAGAGATGTGAGGAAGGGAGGAGAAAATGCACCCTGTGAAGGGCTGGGGTGTTATGGCCAGCACCCTGCAGCACAATTCACCCCTGGAAGTTACTCCTGTGTTCCTGTGATTCTCCTATTTCACTGTGGGCTCTGTAGCCCACTGTGTATTTAGGTGCTTAATTCACATGGGTGTTTTTCCAGTGCATAGGAGGTGCTACATAACTCTGTGAGCCTGTGCTGCAGTCTCCAAGCACTGGGATGTGGCAGGAAGTGAATGCCTGGAGATCTTGGGCAGCCTCATAGGGAGACCCAAGGGGCAGGGAAGGAATCCACCTTGTCACTGTTGTCCTGGCGTTCTCCATCTCTCTCACAGAATCATGGAATGGTTTGTGTTGGAAGGGACATTAGAGCTCATCCAGTTCCAACACTCCTGCAACAGGCAGGGACACCTTCCACTAGACCAGTTTGCTCCAAGCCCTGTCCAACCTGGCCTTGAACACTGCCAGGGATGGGGCAGCCACAGCTTCTCTGGACACCCTGTGCCAGGGCCTCAGCACCCTCACAGGGAAGAACTTCTGCTTAAGATCTCATCTCAGTCTCCCCTCTGTCAGGTTAAAGCCATTCCCCCTTGTCCTGTGCCTACAGGCCCTTGTCAAAAGCCCCTCTCCAGGTCTCTCGTCAGCCCCTTTATGCACTGGAAGCTGCTCTAAGGTCTCCCCTTAAGGAGCCTTCTCTTCTCCAGGCTGAACAAGCCCAGCTCTCCATAGCTCTGTCCTCCCTGTCCTGACCTGCTCCAATTAATTATTCAGACAAGAGCCACAGCACAGCAGCAGTTGCTATAGGGTGCTGACATGAATAACAACAGGCGGCTATTTTTATCCCTAACTCTTGTTACCTTGCAGTCAGGAGCAATGGGTCCCTGCCAGCTCTCTTCACACAGAGCTCACTGTCTTTGTCAGGAGGAACACTGCAGCGATTTATAGTGTCTTTATGGGCTGGGATTCATTCTGACTGGCTAAATATAGGTCAGATCTATGTGCCTGAATCCCACCCTGGTACCACTCCGTGCACTGCCAGCTGCACTCACAGGTCACTTTGCATCTACATTTTATTTTTTCAAAACCCATTTTTCTTTCCATTTGTATTTTATATGCCATAAAGCATATAGAGTGTGGTCACTGCTAGATTGAATAGTCTGTCTACTGCAGAGAGAGGAAAAATGTTTCAGAGGTGAAGTCTCATGATGGGTTCTGACAATTTATATAGGATACATTACATTTCCTTTTGGAACACACAAAGACTGATTCCTCCAGTCAGTTTATGCTTCCAGTACCCAGAGGGGCCAACAAAAAAGCAGGACAGGGACTTTTAACAAGGGCCTGTAGGGACAGGACAAGGGGGAATGGCTTTAACCTGACAGAGGGGAGATTGGGATGAGCTCTTAGGCAGAAGTTCTTCCCTGTGAGGGTGCTGAGGCCCTGGCACAGGGTGTCCAGAGAAGCTGTGGCTGCCCCATCCCTGGCAGTGTTCAAGGCCAGGTTGGATGGGGCTTTGAGCAACCTGCTCTAGTGGAAGGTGTCCCTGCCTGTGTCAAGGGGTTGGAATTTGATGAACTCTAATGTCCCTTCCCACTGAAACCATCCTGTGATTCTATGATTTATACCCTCACAGCTGGCATACCCAGTTAAATATCTTGCCACAACCCCAGTGAGTGTGGCATGGGCACACCAAGGCCTTTCTCAATTCATTCCTCCTTGTTCTGCCCCCACTCATGCCAACTGCAATCAAAACGGGAAATCTCCAGAAAATCAGGGGAAGGGAGGGGTTTGAGGGACTTCTGAAGTTGAATGGGTGCTGCTGAGAGTGCAGAGCCTGTTCTGGCTGCAGAGATCGTCTCTGGTGCCAGCAGAACCATCTGGGAGATTAAAATATCTCCAAACAAGCAAAAGGAGCAAAACAAAAGTTTTCTCTAGCTGTTTATTTTTTCTATTTTTAAGCAAGGTTTAGAGAAAGATTTTTAAGGAATACCAAAATCCTTTTTAAGCGAGAGCGGCTGTTTCCCAGACACCATTGCTGTCTCTGCTTTCCTTTGATTTGGGCCTGCAACACATCTCCGAAGACACATCCCAAATCCTCCTTTTTATTGCAAACACCACAGGACCTGCTGCTTTTGTAACTTCAGCTCCAAATTCCTGGACTTGCACTGGATCACGTAAAAAAGTGACACCCAGCCTGTATGCTTTGGGGTGGAAACACACAGAAAGGGGTTCCCCAAATGCAATATAGAATCAATCACAGAATCCCAGGTTGGAAGGGACCTCAATGATCTGGTGTCCTCAACATAAAAGTTCTGGTGTCCTCAACATAAAAAGGACATGGATCTGTTGGAACAAGTCCAGAGGAGGGCCACGAGAATGATCAGGGGACTGGAGCACCTCCCGTATGAAGACAGGCTGAGAAAGTTGGGGCTGTTCAGCCTGGAGAAGAGAAGGCTGCGTGGAGACCTCATAGCAGCCTTCCAGTATCTGAACGGGGCCTATGAGGATGATGGGGAGGGACTCTTCATTAGGGACTGTAGTGGTAGGACAAGGGGTAATGGGTTAAAACTTAAACAGGGGAAGTTTAGATTGGATATAAGGAGGAAATTCTTTCCTGTTAGGGTGGTGAGACACTGGAATAGGTTGTCCAGGGAGGTTGTGAATGCTTCATCCCTGGCAGTGTTCAAGGCCAGGTTGGATGAGGCCTTGGGTAATATGGTTTAGAGCGAGGTGTCCCTGCCCATGGCAGGGGGGTTGGAACTTGATGATCTTAAGGTCCTTTCCAACCCTAACTATTCTATGATTCTATGATCATCTGGTCCAACTTCTCAAGGGAAAGCATGACCTCGACTAGATGGCCCAGCACCCTGTCCAGCCAAATCTGAAGTGTCCAATGTTGGGCAGCCCACCACTTCCCTGAGGAGATTATTCCAGTGGCTGATTGTTCTCGTCGTGAAAAAATTTCCAGTTGGAATCTCCCCAGAATTAACTTGTGCCCATCACCCCTCTTCTTTTCCATGTAACTCCTGGGAAAAAGGGACTCTCCATCTTCCTTGTAGCCACTCTTTAAATACTGGGACATGGGGATAAGGCCTCCCCTGAGCCTTCTTTTCTCCAGGCTGAGCAAGCCCAGCTCTCTCAGCCTTTCCTCACATGGCTGCCCAGTACTTTGATCACCGTGGCCCTTCTCTGGACCCTCTGGAGATGTGGCATTGGCCACATCTTTTTTCTTAAGCGGGGCCCAAACCTGAACGCAGTATTCCAAGCATTGCCTGACAAGCACCTAGATAGAGTGGAAATAGGAAAATATAATTGGAAAATTAAAAAGGCAGGGGGGTCGGGGATGTTTTTACTTTCGTTGTTGTTATTTCTTAACGAAATGGTATTTTCACCCCGCTGGTGACTTCCAAGGGTCGGAGCTGGGAACCAGACCGGCCCCTCGGGACCCACAGCTCCGGCTTCGATCCTCATCCCGGTCCCTATGCTGGCCCCGGTCCCTATGCCGGCCCCGGTCCCTGTGCCTTCCCCAGCCCCTGCCAGAGCCAGTGCACGGAAGGCCGGATCCACCCCTCCTACCTTCCCTCACCCCGCCCCTCCTCGCACTGATAGGCTGGAGCTCTTGCACGTCACTCCCGCCAACTCTATCGCTGTCCCATTGGCTGACTCTGTGTGCGAAATCCAATGAGAAGCTCTGCTGGGCGGGAGGGAGGTGGAATTCCGGTTCTGTGGCGGGAAAGGTTTCTGTGTTTGGCGCTAAGCGGGAGCGCGGCGGCTGCCCGGGGGAACCGGGTCACGTTAACGGGGTCGCGGTCGCTACTGGGGCCGGTCCGGCTTCCCCCGGCTCCTCTCGGTTTCCCCCCTCACAGCAGCGGCCAGATCTCCGCGGCTCCCCCGGCGTCCCGGAGCGGTGGGCAGCATGGCGGCGACGGGCGTGCTGGAGGACGCGGAGCTGCGGGAAGCGCAACGTGACTACCTCGATTTCCTGGATGATGAGGTGAGCCCGGGAGCGGGGCTGAGTTCCCCCAGTTCCCCGGGGTTGGGGAGCATCTTGGCCCTATGCTCCTTCCCCCCCCCCCCCCCCCCGGTTTGTTCCGTGGGGCTAAAGCGAATCGCGCTCCGCAGGAACCGGCTCCTGGGGGTGTCTGTGACAGGCGGTGATGCAAAGTGTGTTGTTTTGGGGGTGTTTTCCCCCCGCCCCTCTTGCAGGAAGACCAAGGGATTTACTCTAGCAAGGTCCGGGAAATGATCAGCGACAACCGGTACCGCCTCCTTGTCAGCATCAACGACCTGCGGCGGAAGAACGAGAAGAGGGCCAACCGGTTGGTGTGGGGCCCCGGGCTTCCCTTCGGCACCCTGCCCTTTCAGAGATCGAGACCTGTTCTTGCAGGTCTTTTGTGTCAAGGAAGGGCCAAGCCCTGCCCTGTGCACCAGGTCTCATGTAAAAGGTGGACCTGCTCTTTTCCCCCCTTCCCTTCCAACCCGTGACTCGGCACTCATATTTTGCAGTATCTTGGGGTTGATTCTGTAATATCAGTCATCTCCTTTGTTAGGATGCTTGGGGATATTTTGGAGCAGGCTTGCCAGTCTGCTTGGGAATATGTGAGATTTTTCATATGTGGTTGGCTTTGTTGAGCTCCTGGCTGTTGGTGGCAGCAGATGTGACACAGAGCTATAATGGGCTTTGGGTTTTTTCCCTTCACGCTCCTTTGAACTTTTGGAGCATATGGAGGCGTGGGATAAGCATTAAGGAGGACAGCAGAAGAGGCTGATCAGTCTGCATCATTGTCTCCCTCTTGCAGGCTCTTGAACAATGCCTTTGGGGAGCTGGTCGCTTTCCAGCGTGCCTTAAAGGATTTTGTTGCCTCTGTTGATGCCACCTATGCCAAGCAGTTCGAGGACTTCTACATTGGGCTGGAGGGCAGCTTCGGCTCCAAGCACGTGTCACCGCGGACGCTGACAGCCTGTTTCCTTAGCTGCATTGTCTGTGTGGAGGGCATCGTGACCAAATGTGAGACCAGGGGAGACCCAGGGGCTTTGGGGGTTCTGGGTCCTGCTGTTTGCTGTGGAGAGGCTGGAGGACACTAAGAGCTGGGGTGTATACTGGCAACCTGAGTGAAGGGAACAGGGGGCTTAGCAGGAGGTCTTGCGTGTTGGGGTGGTGGTTGGTGTCAAGCGGATGCTGGCTGTGGTTGGCAGTTTAGTGTTGGGGATTGTCTGCTGACAGAGGGCTGGGGGTATCCATGCCCCTAACTCCTCATTCTCCCAACCTCAGGCTCTCTGGTTCGTCCAAAGATCGTCCGGAGTGTCCATTATTGCCCAGCTACCAAGAAGACTATTGAGCGCCGGTACACGGATTTGACCTCCCTGGAGGCTTTCCCATCCAGCTTCTTCTACCCTACAAAGGTGAGGTGAATTAGCCTTGTGGGGAGCATCAGCTTCGCTGGGAAAGAGAATGCGTCAGCTCTGAGCCCAGGGCTCAAATCCTTGTGCATCCCCTCTCCCTCTGCCAACAACATCAAACGTATGAAAGTCCCAGAGAGCTACTAGGAACAGGTGAAGAAAACCTCCATTGGACACAAGGCCACCAGACCCACTAGTTTAGTGTTACTTGTGATCATGGTTCTGCTGTAGTGTGGCTTCTTGGGGGGTTGTCAGCCAGACTTGTGGTTCTTGGGACCCAGGTCAGTATGGGCATGCCTGTGCTGTCCTGGAGGGTGTATGCACCTTGAGTGGAGGATTTGCCATGTATTTGGGAATGGAGGAAGGTTGACCTGAGCTTTGTCTGCACTGTTGGATGTGTTCCTGAAAACTGATCCTAGTCTCTTTATTCGGATTCCTCCTGTAGGATGAAGAGAATAACCCCCTGGAGACCGAGTTTGGCCTCTCGGTCTACAAAGACCATCAGACTATCACCATCCAGGAGATGCCTGAGAAGGCACCAGCAGGTCAGCTGCCACGCTCAGTGGATGTTGTTCTGGATGATGACCTGGTAGACAAGGTGAAGCCTGGAGACCGCATCCAGGTGGTGGGGACGTACCGCTGCCTGCCAGGAAAGAAAGGGGGTTACACATCAGGGACTTTCAGGTGAGCCTTCGTCTGTCTCGGCTTCAGCCCTCCCACCCTTTCTAGTTGGGTCACATCCCTGGAAGCTGAGATCTCTCACAGGTGGGTGGCCATCATAGAGCTGGGCCAGGCATTGGCTTAAATCACTTGGCAGTGGGTTGATTCCTAGCATCAGTGTGTAGCTGTGAGCTCCAGCTGTACGCAGAGGGGGTTGGATGCTCTTAAAGATGCTCCACTGGTGGCCTGAAGCAGTGGGCTACGGCTCTTGAAGCTTTCCAGCCTCCTCCAGTACTTCCTACAGTAAATGATGACCCTGTGGAAGTTTCTGCTGTGTTGTTGCTGTGACCCATAGGCTTTGTGGGGTTTACAGACCTGATCATGGCTGTGTCTTCTCCAGGACTATCCTTATTGCCTGCCACGTGAAGCAGATGAACAAAGATGTCCGGCCTCTCTACTCTGCTGCTGATGTAGCCAAGATCAAGAGATTCAGCAAGAGTCACTCCAAGGTATTTAAGCCTTGCATCTAGAAGGCAGGCTTGTATTGGAGCATGAGGTTTCAGTTAGGAGTAGCTTTAAGGCTTGGCATGTGGCTAGGGAGGTGCCTTATTGGGTGTAAGTAACTCTTCAACCCTGTTAGCAATGTTGCTGGATTTTCCACTCACTTTCTTTGCAGTTTCTGCTTAGGCTTTGATCAGGTCCTGGAATTGTTTTGTTGTTGCTTCTGTGCTGTTAACAGAGTATCCTTGCTGCCTGCTGGCAGCAGTGCTGTGCATAGCTATTGAGACAGAGATCTGTTTGTGTGGTGTGTGTCCTGACCCTGTCAGCTTGTTGCCAGGGAATTTCCTCTGTAGAAGAAACACCTCCCTCTTTCCTCTTCAAACCCCAAACATGAATGAGATAAGGAGGTCTGCTCCAGCCTGGCCCTATGCTCAGACCTTTGCTTTGTAGCATGGAAAGGAGAGAGCCTTGCTTTCACAGGGGTTGCTGCTTTCAGTGCTTGCTTGGGTGACTGTGACAGGTGGGATGGTCTAGAGCTTCAGAGCCCCATTGAAACAAAACGCTGGCCAGTGGTCTTCTCCTTTCTAAGTAATTTGCAACCACATGGCTCTGAGATTAGGGATAAGCACCATTTTTGTGCTGAAATGAATTTGTGGAGTACTGCTCCTTGTTCTTATTTGCTACAGTCCATGTGATGGAACATGCTTTGCCTTTTTTGCCTTTAGGATATCTTTAACCAACTGGCGAAATCCCTGGCTCCCAGCATCCATGGGCACGAGTACATCAAGAAGGCCCTTCTCTGCATGCTGCTCGGAGGGGTGGAGAAGGTCCTGGATAATGGGAGCCGCATCCGAGGAGACATCAACATCTTGCTGATAGGTCTGGAAGGGCAAGGCAGAGGCACCCTCAGATGGTGGTGTGGGGAGTTTCACAGAGTAATTGTAGTTAGATGGAACCTCTGGAGGTCTCACATGCACAGGGCAGAGCTGGTGTCACTGGTAGATCAGATTGCTTTGGGAGTTGCCCAGTTGATTTTGAACATCTCCAGGGATGGGATCCCCTGTCTTCTGTAGGCCACTGTCCCAGTGTTTCACCACCATCAAGGAGATCTCTTTTTCTTCTACCATCCAATTGAGATTTCCTGTGTTCCAAATTGTCCCCAGTGTCCCTGGTCCTATCACCATGCACCTTTCAACTCTAGCACCATCTTGTTTCCTCCCACTGGGTTATTGAGAAGGCAAGAAGATCATCTGATCACCTTGTTTTCTGAAGACTGAACAAACTGCCTTCTGCCCCCTTCCCTCCCCACCAGCCCCAGGCTGGACACAGTATCCAGGCAATGTGTGGTTATTAAACATGAACATCTCCATTTCAGGAGACCCTTCTGTTGCCAAGTCTCAGCTGCTACGGTACGTGCTCTGCACTGCGCCCCGCGCTGTCGCCACCACCGGCAGAGGCTCCTCTGGTGTTGGCCTGACTGCTGCTGTCACCACAGACCAAGAAACCGGTGAGGAATGGGCTGGTTCCTGGTGGGAGCTGTCAGGAGGATGGATGGTTGTTAACACCTGGGAAGGACTCTGAGATCCATGGCTGCTGTTCTGCAGCAATGCCACGAAAGGACTTACTGCATCCAAAAGCTTTGTGGCAATGTTCATCATGTTTGGGGGTATTTTTTCTACCTCTGTTAAGTGGTGTTCTTCTTTGCTCCTACTTGGTGCACCCCTTGTGAGGGCTAGCAACAGCCTGGATCATCTTCTTCCTTATGTGTTTACTGTTCATCCTGAGTGCTCTCCTCCTGCTGTCAGGTTGGGTAGGAAACAGGCAGACCTGAAGGGTGCTCCTGCTCTTTGAGACTTAGGCTGGTCACAGGGTTAGAGCTGTGGTGGAGGGGACAGCAGGGCAGGAGATGTGTGGGGCTGCTGAATGGTGATGACCCTCTCTTTCTCCTCCTCCACCCTAGGTGAACGGCGCCTGGAAGCAGGGGCCATGGTGCTGGCTGACCGAGGGGTGGTATGCATTGATGAGTTCGACAAGATGTCTGATATTGACCGCACAGCCATCCATGAGGTGATGGAGCAGGGCCGCGTCACCATCGCCAAGGCTGGCATCCATGCCCGCCTCAACTCCCGCTGCAGTGTCCTGGCGGCAGCCAACCCTGTCTACGGCCGGGTGAGTGCTGGTGTTTGCTGGTCCCCTCCATGGGGAAAGATGCTGGGAGCTGTCTTGGTGAAGGAGGCAGCTGGTAAAAGCCAAAAGTTTCAGCCAAGACCAGTGACTTGGTCCTTGCTGGGACTGGGATCCATGGAGGCAGTGAAGGTGTGGTTGGTTTGATCTCTTGTTGCTCATGGCTCTCCTGGAGGAGAGAGTGGCTTGTGAGTTTTGTCACGCCAGCACAATTCTGCCTCTTTGTCTCAGGGCAGCCAAGTGGATCCTCATCCTGGTGATGAGCCCTAGTCTTGGTGTTTGATCTGGGATCACAAGAAGTACATACTTGTCTTCAAGGATGGGGAAAAGAGGTCTCACTGCTGCAGCAGGCTGGGTATAGTGTGGTGTCCAACTGCCTGGACACCCATCCTTTAAGGCCTGGCCTGAGGAGCTCCTCCCAGCCTTGCTGACAGTCAAGACTGATCCATGAAGGTCTCCTGTAACACTTCATACTGTCCTATTGCAGTATGACCAATACAAGACACCTATGGAGAACATTGGCCTGCAGGACTCCTTGCTCTCCCGCTTTGACCTGCTCTTCATTGTGCTAGACCAGATGGACTCTGAGCAGGACAGGGAGGTCTCGGACCATGTCTTGCGGATGCACCGCTACCGCAAACCCAACGAGCAGGATGGGGATGGTGAGTTGCTTGTAACTGCAGTCTCCTTGCTGCTCAGTTCTGTCCTTCCTTGCTGGAAGGACACCTTGGTGTCACCCCTTGGTGGCAGCTCAGTTCAGCATCCCTGGTTTATTGAGCACTGCTTTTGGTGGCTCTTGGAAGCTGCTTCAGAGGGTGATAAAAGCCCATTCTCTGTGACTCTCCCCTCTCCAGCCATGCCTCTGGGCAGTGCTGTGGAGATCCTGGCTACAGAGGACCCCGACTTTGCGCAGGAGGAGGAACAGGAGCTCCAAGTGTACGAGAAATACAATGACCTCCTGCACGGGCCCCACCGCCGCAGGTGAGTCCTTCATCCCACATCCCCTAAAGTGCTTTGGTGGCTTCCAGCACTGTGAATTGGTGTGCTTGGCTTAGGTATCCAGGCAGTGGCTCGTAGCTGGTGCCAGAGATGCTTCAGATGGCCTGTGTGGAGGTACACGGGCAAGATATCAAGGGAGCCCTGCTCTAGGTTTGATCTCATGCCAGGCAGGTGGGGAACGTCTGGAGCTAATTCCTTGCACACCTAGATGCCTGTGAAGGGTAAACCGTGGGAAGCCCACTTCCACAAACACCCTTTGCCCATCCTCACTGTGGAGGCCATTCCCTGCAGGGAGAAAATTGTCAGCATGGAGTTCATGAGGAAGTACATCCACGTAGCAAAGATGATTAAGCCTGTCTTGACCGAGGAGTCAGCGAGCTATATAGCAGAGGAGTACTCCCGCCTGCGCAGCCAGGAGCAGATGAACTCAGACATCGCCATGGTGAGTCCTGAGAGCATCTCCCCCTCAGACCAGGAGGAAGGAAACAGAGGCACAGGCTCCCCTCTTTCATTACAGGTGTTTTCCACCCTGGACATGATGCATCTCAGTAAAGTGGGATGCTGAGGTGGGGTCAGCCCTACAGAGACGCCTCTCTCTGTCTCTCCCCAGACCTCTCCTGTCACAGCTCGTACCCTGGAGACCCTTATCCGCCTCTCCACAGCCCATGCCAAGGCCAGGATGAGCAAGACTGTTGATCTGCAGGATGCTGAGGCAGCTTTGGAGCTGGTGCAGTTTGCCTACTTCAAAAAGGTGGGGGAAGGTGTCCCTTGGCTCTTTGGGGTCCTGAAATTGTCATTGTAAAGACTGGGTTTGGTGGGCTGCTGGTGAGGTCCTTTCCTGGTGATAGTCTGGGATGAGGCCACCATAGTGTGATCTTGGGGGTTGGTCCCCTACAAGCAGCTTGAGTGGAAAAGGGGGCTAAGTCCATCCTGTCTGTGCCACACAGGTGCTGGAGAAGGAGAAGAAGCGCAAAAAGCAGACAGAGGACGACTCGGAGACTGAGAAGGAGGATGAGGAGTCACAGCCCAAGGAGGAGCGCAAGACGAGGAGGTAGGACACAGAGCAAGGGAAGGGGTGCCATGTAAGGGGCACCAGCCTCTTCTGATGTTGCAGCAGGCAGTGCTGGCCTCAGGGAAGTACTCCACTGTCTAGTGGATCAACCCCAGTTTGTAACAGAGGAACATCCTTATTGATAAGGAACTGGCTGGATAGCCATGTCCGATGGGTTGCAGTCAATGGACATCAGGAATGAGTGGTGTCACTCAGGTGTCTGTGCTGGGACCAGTACTATTTAATACCTATGGAAACTTCGTGAAGTTCAGCAAGGCCAAGTGCCAGGCCTGCATCTGGGTTGGGGTGATCCCCAGTACCAGTGCAGGGGAGACATCTTCTTCCCCTACCCAGGACAAAGAAGGCACGCACAGGGGACGAGGGGGACTCCTATGACCCATACGATTTCAGTGATGCCGAGGAGGAGATGCCAGAAGGTGAGTCCTTGGTGTTTCTCAAGTGGCACCCAGGTCTTGAGGGTGCTGCTGACTTGTACCCTGCTGGTCTGCACATCCTGGGGTCATTCATGGCCCATGGTGTGGCACCATCCAGCCCCACAGACGAGGATGGGTCATTGTTTCAAACCATCCATGGCCATGTGGGACAGGGGAATTGGTATTGCTGGTTAATTGATGTCTACTTCCAAACTGCTGCAGAAGGAACAATGCTGGGAGGGAGTTCAGCATTGCCTGTCCCATCCCAAGGCCAAGTGCTTTTGCTCTTTGGGTGCTTGGACTGCAGGCAGGTTGAAGGCAGCTCTTCCTTCTGTTCCAGTTCAGGCACACACTCCAAAGACACCCGAAGCCTCAGCCGCTGGGGAAGCCAAGAAGCCGGAGCTGGCTGAGCCGAGGTGAGTAGGGGCTGGAGGAGGTACCTGTCTCTGCATGTTCTACCCCACCTCATGGGTCCAAGTTGTTGCCCAGTGATGGGGGTGCATCTGTTCTGGGGTGCTTCTGGCTCTGTTCTTGGCTTTCCTGCTGTGTGCTGCTCCCGGAATTGGGAAGGGCTGAGGCATCCCTGAGGGAATGAAGGGGAAGGACTTGTGTGTGTGTCTTGAAAGGGTTATTACTCTTCACCTTCCCTGACCAGGTTGAAGGCATTCAAGGCTCGTCTTCTGGAGGTTTTCAAGGCTTCCCATGCCCAGTCTGTGGGTCTGAAGAACATGATGGAGTCCATCAACCGCGACAACCCTGAGCCCTTCTCGCAGGATGAGGTGAAGGTGGCGTTGGCCCACATGCAAGATGACAACCAGATCATGGTGTCTGATGACATTATCTTCTTAATCTGACCATCTGGGTGGAAGAGCCCAAATTCCTATGGACTGTCAGTCTGGAGACTCTTTGTGCTTGCCTTTAACTCCTGAATGCTTCCTCTGGCTGAGCTGAACTCTGGGGAGCTCAAGTCTGTGCACTTTACAGTCTTCCATCATTGCTGGCACCAAAAGAAGCCAGGAGCTCTGGAAGCAATCTTACTGTTGCTGTCTTCAGACTGGCTTATTTGGGAAGAGGTTTGTTTCTGCAAGGAGCCAAGAGGAAAAACTTAAGTGCAAAGTATCAGTGTTTTTTAATGTATCGTGTTTATCTCTGGTGATAATGGTTCCAGCCTTTGAATAAGAAAGTATGGATTTAGGAATCCAACATTGTGTACCAGTGGTGGTAAGAAGCAGTATGAGAGATCTGCTATTAGTAGTGAAGCTTCTCTTTTTCCCTTTTTTTCCTCTTTTTCCCCAGCTGTATAGCCCAGACCTGCTTGCCTCACAAGCAGAGATGCCTGATGCCTGTCCCGTTGGCTGTAATCAGCTTCTTCCCCGCTCTTCCTTGCCCATCTTGTGGAGGGTGATTTCTGGCATTGGAGGGGTCAAGTATAATCTGACCTGCTGTTTCACAGCCCTGCTCAGAGTTTTGGCTCTTAAGTGGGTGAGAAGGACCTGGAATGCTCAGAGCTGCCCATGGGCCATAGCCCTGGTACAGATGGCTTTGGCCTCCAGCCTGGGATTGTGCCCCTGTGAAGACCACCAATGGAAACCTTCTGCAGTAAAGAAAGGCCAAAGCTATGGGACCTGGGTCCTACATCTCTTATATGTCCTTATGGCTGAGCTGCTGCAGATCTTCATCCTGTGGAAGGTAACCACAAACTACTGAAGACTAAAAACTTTCCCTTCCCCTTGGGGGATTTGCTGAACCGTCTTGCTCTCTGGGAACACATAAGTGACCGCTGCTTGGGAAAAGGCTGTTCCAGAAACCAATGGGTTCCTATGGCTGGGGTGGTTTTAGGAGAAGCTGAACACACAGACCAATGTTGGCTGCTGGTGGGGCCAGAGCAGCTGAAGGTCTGGGGTTATCTTTCAATTGCCTTTTTATTGCTTCTTTTATTTTCCTATCCTGGTGAGTTTGAGGTCAAGCTTTGGAGGAGATCCCCGAACTGCACAGGCTGTTTGCTGTTGTCACTGCCTGTCTCTGGGCATCTGCACAGTTCATGTGCTTTTATTTCTGGATGACTTAAATAACTGATTTGAATAATTAAAGTGTCTAGTGTTTGTCCCATGACTTGCTGCTTACTTTGATTTAAACTGTTCCCACTTCTAGGGATATAACTATAGTCTTTTGGGGACCTGGGCTGCTGTGGAAAGCCTTCAGCCAGCTGCCTGCCCCTTTGGGCTCAGGGACCGTGTTGGCACGTCCATCACAGTGCCTTTGACTTGGTGGACCAGGCACTTGCAGGAGTGCCCTTGGAGTGGATGCATAATAAACATGGGCAGCTCCTGCCTTTCCCACTGCAGCTACACATTCTGGTGCCTAAGGAAGACTTGGTAGCATCTTACTACACAGGGCATGGGGGAAACTTCATTTGTCTCCTGCAAATTACAAAAGCCTGATCTCTGACCTCCCCTCATCCAACACAGCTGTGACATCACATTTTTCAGGCTTGGAAAGGATTTTACTTGTTTACAGCTTTCAAAAGAGCTCATTGAACTAATACAGTGACCTCAGGCCTACGGCCAGTGCGTGGCTCATAAAACTGCCAAGACTGGCGAAGGTGAGTTGAGCACACAAGGTCAGAGTTGTTCTGGGTCAGGGGTTTTATTATGCAGCTCCCATGTGAGCTTTGTGGGACTGGGCAGGAAGCTGGTCCAGCAGGCTCTGCTCCTGCATGGCCACCACTGTGCTGGCTCCATGCTGCAGAGCACCTGGGCAGGAGCAATGTGCTGAACCTGGTGTCTTCTCCAAGGTGTAGGTGGTGTTTTCTTATCAACTCATTCATGGGCAAAGGAACCAACGTTTTTCTTCTGGAAAGGTGCCTGGGTGCTTACAAAAAGCTCCCTGGTAACAGCTGCAGCTCTGACATTGCCTTGCTGTAGGAGTGAGGACACTGTAATCTCCTTCCTCTCTCCTCACTTCTCTCTGTCTTTCGGAGGCTGTTCCTCTCGCAAGTCACAGCAGGGAGTGGTGAAGGTATTGGATAGTTTTTGGGGCCATCTCATCTCTGTTTTCCCTGTCCTTAAAGCTGGGGCTCTGCTAACGTTGTATTTCCCATGGTAAGACACCAGGAGGAGCTCTAGGGCAGGGAAATTGGTTTATTTTACCATGCTGTAGTATAGGATGGTAGCTCTGTACATTTCCTATGGTGGCCACCTCAGTATACAGAATTACAGACCGGTTTGTGTTGGAAGGGACCTTAAAGCTCATCCAATTCCAACTCCTGCCACAGGCAGGGACACCTTCCACTAGACCAGGTTGTTCCAAGCTCCATCCAACCTGGCCTTGAGCACTGCCAGGGATGAGGCAGCCACAGCTTCTCTGGGCAACCTGTGCCAGGGCCTCAGCACCCTCACAGGGAAGAACTTCTGCCTAAGAGCTCATCTCAGTCTCCCCTCTGTCAGGTTAAAGCCGTTCCCTCTTGTCCTGTTCCTACAAGCCCATGTAAACCGTCCCTTTATGATCTCACATATTTTGCAGGTTTTATCTAAGAAGTCAGGACAACCTGGTCTAGTGGAAGTTGTCCCTGCCGCGGGAGGGGGGTTGTAACCATTCTATAATTCTATGATAAGCTTCAGCTCCCACTGGGAAATGGTGAGTGTGCAACCTCTCTTGAGGGACATCATGCTCCTTTTGAGATTAAAAATCACACGTAATAAAAATAATGATTTGGGGAATTCAATACTGGCAAGCTAAGTGTTTGTTCTTATATGTTTAGCCTGGAGAATAGAAGGCTACGTGGAGACCTCACAGCAGCCTTCCAGTATCTGAAGGGGGCCTATAGGGATGCTGGGGAGAGACTCTTCATTAGGCACTGCAGTGAAAGGACAAGGGGTAACGGGTTAAACCTTAAACAGGGGAAGTTTAGATTGGATATAAGGAAGAAATTCTTTACTGTAAGGGTGGTGAGGCACTGGAATGGGTTGCCCAGGGAAGTTGTGAATGCTCCATCCCTTGCAGTGTTCAAGGCCAGGTTGAACGAGGCCTTGGGTGATATGGTTTAGTGTGAGGTGTCCCTGCCCATGGCAGGGGGTTTGGAACTAGATGACCCTAGGTCCTTTCCAATCCTAACTCTTCTGTGTTGCCTGTTGCCTCCTCTCAAACCATGTGCCCCTAATAGTTTACCTGGTTTCATCCCTGCTGCATGGAAATGAGAACAGGAGACTCAGTTCTGGCCCCAACCCTTGTTTGGGTTCTGTGACTCAATACAGAGAGCCTTCCCTTGTGCATCACCCATTGCCCAGCTCATCTGTTGTGCCACCAGGACTTGGCCATGCACAGAGATGTGAATTGAAGAGATGGATGGCAGAGATGTGCTTTATTTAACACACTGCACCTTAGTATTATATTTCTCAGCTCCTTTATTCCCCCTTCTCTCTATGGGCCTATTGATGCTACAAATTAAATGTCCTATTTATCTGCCTGCTGCAGGATGGGTGAGCACCCAGACTGCAGGGGCTAGGGGTGAAATCCCCATGCCAGGACCATCAGCATCACCTAATCCCTGCTTCCCATCCAACCCACAGCTCTGGCCAAAGTGCGAAGCTGAGGCAAGGTGGCAGCCAAAAGTAAGGTTTTGTCCATTGTAGCTATTTATTCTGAAAATGCAGTGTTTCCAGTTCAATTCTCTCGACTGTGATCAACATCTTGGTCTTGAGTCTTGATGTGATAAAGTATCATCAGCAAACCTTGCAGTAGTAAGCATGGATATGTGCAGTCAGCTCTCTAAATCAGAAGGTAGGTGATTTTATGGTGTCACACATCATGAAGGGGTATAGCTAGGGCTGACAGGAGTAAGCTGCTGGAGATTGGAGTCTTGCCTTGTGCTTTAGCTCAGCTCTGAAATGTTTATTTGGCCCCAGTGTCTGGAGATCTCAGAGGCTGTGATTTCACCCCCATTATCTCCTTTGCTGGTGCAGGCTGCAAAAGGTCCTCTGCCGTTCTTCAGTTGAGCTGGCTGAGGCACCTACCCTTAAAATGATGCCTATTCTCACAGCAGCTTGCTGAGATGCAGACACCCATGGACTCTATCCATGCAATTGGGTGGTGGTGGGCCAGAGGGTGCTACAGAAGCATTACTTCCAGATATATCCTATTAATTTATTAGGATTCCAGCCATATCTATTCTCCGTAGACCTTCCTGCATGGCCAGGCACCTGTTTCCAGAGCAGAAAATGATCGTGTCATTGAAACATGAGTACCAGCTATGAATATTTATTTGCACAGATGCAGCTGAGAAACAGAGCTTGCTTTGCCCAGTAGCGGAGTCAGTGAAATGCAGGTCACAGCTCTGCGCCTGGTGTTCGTACATCTATATTCAAAGACATTTGAGTACTTTTGGTTTCTGTCTGCTCAGGAGTTGTATTTCTATGTTTCCTTGGAGGTGGTGCAGGTGACCTCTTTTAAATCAGATTTTGGGCGAACTTCAACACGAATTAAGTCATAGGAAATTTCAGGTCAAAGAGGGAATCCTCGCTGAAGTTATAAACCACTGAAGATGGAAGGTGTGAGTGGAAAGTGGTGGTCAGGGCTAATAACCCACTATTTGGTGTGGTAACGTCATTGCTTCATCGCGTGTAACAGTTTCCGCTTAACACTGTACCTGCAAAATCCAACCTATTTTCATGGCAATGCCCTTTTCCTTTCACCGCGATTGCTCAGGGGAAAAAAAGGGGGGTCAGTTTCTGGGGTACAGAAGTGGGTTTCTGGTAATTCTACCCTCTTGTAGTCTTCCACTGCCTGTGTCTTAGACGCATTCGTCAGAACAGGAACATGTGTCACAAAATTGATGTTACCTCAGGTGAACTTGGTAACCTGAAGCATGAAAAGTTTACGTGACATGAGTTGTTGGTCTCTGAACCATCAGTTGAATCAGACCACAACATCATGACAACATCCTGCAGTGACATAAAGCATCAGTCAGAGGAGATTTCTGCAGGTGCTATTCAAGAAAGGTGATAGAGCAGGGACTGGGTTAGTCCCTTCTCATTTGAAAATGACGTGAATTTGTAAGAGGCTCCCGATTTTCTGGAGGACTGAAGGTGAATGTGCGTGAAGAGTCCTACTTTTCAGTCCTTTTCTAGCTTGGCTACATGGCTTTGGGAGAGGCTTCTCACGGGGCTTTTCTCCACAGAGAAGCTGATCAATATCTGAAAGGGGACTACAAGGGCGCTGGACTAGGACTCTTCATTAGGGACTGTAGTGATAGAACAAGAGGTGATGGGTCTAAACCTAAACAAGGGAAGTTCAGGTTAGATGTAAGGAAGTTCTTTACTGTGGGGGTGGTGAGGCGCTGGAATGGGTTGCCCAAAGATGTTGTGAATGCTCCATCCCTGGCGGTGTTCAAGACCAGGCTGGAGGTAATCTTAGGTGACATGGTCTATTGTGCAGTGTCCCTGCCCATGAAAGGGCATTGGAACCAGATGGTCTTAATGTCCTGTCAAACCCAAACCATTCTGTGAATCTATGACAAACTGGCTACATGGTCTTTTTCTGCAATAACAATAGCTTTTACTTCTAAATAAAGATGCTGGTGCTTCTGGGCACATGCACTTCTCCTTTTCCTTTTATTTTCATGCCTCTGTCCCCTAATGGTAAAATGGAAATTATTAGCATGTTCAATTAAAACCCATATTTTTCCATAAACACAAAGGAGTACAGGAGCAGTACCACGTGGAGGAACCAAAATAACACAGTGTCAATGGAGCCCCTGCCCCAGCTCTTTTGGGGCTGTCCAAGGAAGACTGTCAATCTAGACAAGTCAATGGGGGAAGCTTTCCCCAGATCACCTTGACGGCTACAGGACTATTAGACTTGTGGTGGTGCACTGGGAAGAGCGTTTTGGGACTGTGCAAGACTTACTATGGGATGTTTAAGGGAACGGCAAAGTTAGGGAAATAAAAGTATCAGGGAGGATCAGTGAAAAGCAAACTGGAAAATGAGAGGAGGGATGATAGTGGCTGATTACATGTAAGTGGGGTTGTGGTCAGTATGCTCTTCTGACTGAGTTCTGTGCCTGATCACCCCAGCATGTGCTGTCTTCCTATTAAATCCTTTTCTTCTGTTTTTAAGTGTAATTCCACTCTCTATCCTAAATGCAAGTGTTGCAAGGTCTAAGGGCCAGCAGCTGGGGGTCCAGTATGTGCATATTGTTTGCCTTTGTATGTTGGCTTGGAAAGACATCAAGCTGGCCTAACTCCAGCTATTGGAACAGCCATAAGTCTGGGCAGGAGGCTGGAGAGACCAGAGGGTCTGCAAGTTCACTACTGGTGATACTGGGAGGTCTAGTCCAGCTACTGGAGAGGCGTAACACATTACTGTGCCATTGTCATCATCTATAGCCACTGTGAGAATAAGAAAAAAGCTGTTTAAAAATACTTTACATTCTCTCCACCCCTCTGGGATTCGGAGAAGACGTAAGCAAATTGCAGTACAGTATGATCATGGGAGATGGTATACCACATACGTCTGAGGAGTTCATCCAGGAGAAATGCTACTCCAAGGTCCACACAGTAGATAAAGCCAGAGAAGGGTCAGGAAACCAGCACTCCTACATCACAGCTCAGGCAGGGACTGGGGGCCCAAAACTGAACTGATAAGGCACTTCTTGTAATAGGCTGTGCAGGGAAATCCATGGTGATACTGGTCAAGGCCAGTAAGGTCAATTAGTGCCCTCAAGAACCTTGTAGGGTGTGCATGAGTTTTTCAAAGAGCTCTCTAGAATGTGTCTCCATGGGATTTCAGCAACGAGTGAGGAAGGCATCCCAGCTCCTGGTGCCCTGAGATACCCCGGGAAGGATTCTCCTGGGCATCTGTTCTTCCCTTGGCAGGTCATGGAAGGACACAGGGATCCTCGAGTTGTGGTGTGTGTGGATTATGCAGTTGAAACAAAGGGAGGTTAAACCATGAAGTTCCATGTCCTGTCCTCATTTTGAAACCCTTGTTTGCAGCTTGCTGATCTCTGCTGTTTGGTTCGTGTGGGGCACATAAAAATGCATCCACCAATGTGTTTGTGGTGAGAGAACATTAATATTTAAAAGAGGGGGTGAGAAGGGGAATAAAAAAAAGGCTGCCTGAACTTTTTCCCCTCCTTTTCTTCCATTATCTCTTTTTCTGCTTCTATAAGCAGTATTGACTGATTTGGGATTCTGATGACACAGTATTTGCCCTCCCCTTCTGGAGCTAGACGGAAGGAAGTGGGGTAGAAAATGAAATATCAGCTCCTAACCTCGGGTCAGGTAAGCCAGCTACATGCTGCAATGGAAAGGATGGTAGTGGTTGAGCTTCACTATAAAAAGGAGACCACAGCTGGCTTTGAGACACAAGAGAGTGGAAGAGGTCTTGGAGAAGAACTCTTGTGCTCTGTCACTGTGTGCATACACCTAAACAGCAGAAAGAGTGCCATGGCTTTTGCCAGCTATGCTGCAGTGGTGAGTACTTGCATTTGCTATAACTGCTAAGATGCATTTGCTGCAAGAGAAAAAACAATGCAGATCCCAGGATGCTAACCACAAACAACACTTTTGGTCTTAGTGGAAGATGAATGGGATGCTAAATCTGCCTCATACAGCCTTCTGTCCCCAGCTTTTGCAAATGGATTGGTGCTTGAGTGACAAAGAAGGCAATGGACTATCCATAATTATCTGTAAGGGCAGCACTGCTGATGTGGGATTGGAGAGACAGTCCTTTTCTCAGACAACATGCTACCAAAAATGCTGAAATTTCACTGTAAAGTGAATGTCTGTCTATTTAAATTTCAACCTGGGTAATATTTGCAGCACTGCCAGCTGCTGTGATTTTCTTTAAAGCTTTTGCTAAGTGGTCAACCTTTCACTTTCTGAGAAAGCATATGGCTTATTAGGTTTGTAAGCTTAGGTCAGCTGAGTTATTACTCCACCTTGTAAATCATAAGATCATTGCTCTTTGACTACAGAGGTGGACCTTTCATAACTTAGTGGAGAGAAGCTCTTCTTGGTGAAGAGACAAGTATGAATTAGAATTTGAATCAGAGTTTAGCATCTCTTTTGATGAGTATCATTAGCATCATTTGCTATTTGCTTATGCTGGCCCATCTCACCCAAATATAAGATGGTCTACTGATGGTTCAGTCTAGTAAAGACTTTGCTGTTTGTGCTCTTTCTTTCTTGGCTGGACAGAGCTAATGACACCTTTCTCTCCCAGATCAGGTCACTGTTTTTGGTGCTGGTTCTAGCACTCACAGTAGGGAGCTCACCCCATGGGAGGGTAGCTCATCCCCGACCCAGCAAGAATGGTGGCTCTGTGAGGCTTAGTGAAGATTGCCTGAACCAAAAGAATCTCAAGTTTCCTACCATGGTGAAAGTTGACATTCGTATCAGCAATTCAGGTCATGCCTTTAGGGTGGTTCATGATGTCAGGAACCGGTCTCTCTCTCCTTGGGATTACAGGTAAGTTGTTCTCTAAATTGCAAACAACTGCTTCACAGATGTTTCTTTGTGGTGAATGGTGGCTGGTTTTCAACATATGCTTGGAGTCCTGTGAATGTTGCAAATGCTTCTTGATGCGCGCTTACGTTTTGATGTTGGGTGAGATTTCTCCAGGAGAAACTGCATGTAGTGCAGATTGGAGTGGGTTCTAATCATCTTGCCAATCTTTGTAAATCATAGAATTGTTTGGCTTGGAAATGGCTTTTAAGGTCGCCAAGTCCAATTTTAACCCAGCCCTGCCAAGTCCACTGCTAACCTATGTCCCTAAGCACCACATTTATTTTTAAATACCTCTGGGGATGGTGACTCCACCACTTCCCTGGGCAGCTTCTTCCAATGCTTGACAATCCTTTCAGTGAAGAATTTTTTCCTAATATCTAATCTGAGGGTAGGTGTATTCTTTGGCTGTGTCTCATAGTGAGGGTACACAGGTAAATAATATGGTGCTTTCATGGAGATAAGCAAGAAGATCCTGCCAAACCATGTTGTGCAAGTGCATAAAACACTTCTGTGTCTCTATCCCCAGGCTTGATGAGGACCCCAACCGCTTCCCTCAGGTGATTGCTCATGCCAAGTGTCGCCTCTCCAGCTGTGTGAACCCACTGGGGCAGGAGGACCACAGCCTCAACTCCATCCCCATCCAACAGGAGATCCTTGTCCTCCGGCGGGAGCAGCAGGGCTGCCAATACACCTACCGGCTGGAGAAGAAAGTCATCACTGTGGGCTGCACATGTGTTGCTCCAGTCATCCAACACCAGTCCTAGGAAGAATTAGTAGGGGAAGGAACACTGGGAAGAAAAAGTATTTCCTATGAAGATCCCTCTGGAGAAATCCCACCGTAAGCCACCTTGCATCCCAAGCATGACATCTCCTTTCCAAATCTGAGCAGACTGCATCTGAAAGTAGTGATTCTTGCTGTTATGGATTTTAGAACAGGAAACACTGGTAACTTGTGATGGAGGGAGAGAGATGGTGAAAATATTGTCCTTGGCAGTAAATTGCCCTAATGTATACCTACAAACCAGCACTGCTACAAAAATCCTTCTCCTGCACCTTCTCTCTCCCTTCCTCATCTCCTAGCTCCTTTTCGTTCTCTGGCCATCCTTGCTCACTAGCATATTACTGGTGTAAATCTGGCCTGATTTCCAGATTTTCATTGCATTCTGGGTTTGTGTCACTGCTGCTCCATGGGAAGCAATGGCTGACTTACTTCAGAACATTCTGGGAGAGAATTGAGTCCACTTGTATTGAGTGTTAAAACAGCAAAGAACTAATGAATGTTTATATTTCTATTTATATTTTCTATTTATGATTGTATTTATGGCTTTGTATGTGCCCAGAGTATCAAAAAAGGTAACTGTTTATCTGTATTTATTCAGTAACTTATTCACTGAATAAAAATTGTTTATTTAAAATACTGTTGTTTTATGGTAGCTCAAAATGAAAGCATGTCTAGAGAATGGGTTTATGTGGCAGTAACACTGAGAGATTTCAGGAAAGAGCGGGCTTTTTCCGGTGCAGTGATATGAGTAAGAGGGAGTGGAAGAGAACTTGCAACCCAAAGAGATAAAAAGATTTAAAAAGGAGCTGAAAGTTGTTGATGAGGTTGTACAGGCAGCACTGGGGGGAGCTTGTAATAGAGCCAGGTTCTCTACACCTTGGGGGTGGCAGACATCGCATTGCGGCTCTGCAGCTGAAATTTGGGATGGGAGTCTATCCTGCTTCATATGAACTGGGGAAAGCCTGTCCTATCCTCTTCCAGACAAGATGTCATCCTTATAAGCAATGTTCTCCTCCACCAGCTGGATGGTTGGCTGAGCAGGAATGCGGGGGAATGTGTAATGATGGCTTCATCTCACTGGTTTTTAACCAGCCAAATGCTAGTTGTTGTGCAGGAAGTGGTGGATAAGGATCCCTCCTCATAAAGGGAACATCAAGGAATTGCACCTCCAGGGCAGGGTTGCCTGCTGAGCTGAGGTGCCTTTTCTCTCCCTTAGCTGCACAAGGAGCACAGCCCATATAAACACACTGTTTATTATTTTATCAGATTGCTGCAGTGTGCTTTTTTTGACATTACTCATCTTTCACCCAGAACTGAGCCAGAGACCTCTGACTTTGGTTTCTGCTGGTGGAGTTTTAAAGCTTGTATTTCCTTGTTCATCTGCCTTTAAAGAAGGATAAACATATGTGCAACCATTCTTGTATTTAATTTTAGCTGCATAGAAGCCACTTTGAATTAGATCCGTCTGGTACAGTTAGACCCTGGGTTTTCTCCTTCCAAATAGGTTGGATGAGTTGGTGCTTGTTTGTCAAGTGTGGTGTATTCCCTGTCCTGGAGTCACTGGGCGCCAGTTCAACACGCCATGGGTAACTATGTGGGGAAACCATCTCTTTCAGTTACAAGCATTTGTACTCATCTGTGGCAGCGGCTGTTTCGTTATGACCACCAAGCCCTTCATGTGGTGGAGCGCAAACCCATGGAGGCGTCTTCTGCTCACTCTTGCTTAACACCAGCTCTCCTTTACAGTAACCACTGACCAGGAAATCGCACCCTGCACACACCGGTTCTTACTCCTGACCTATTTCTCTCCATCTCGATAAACCTAGCCCGTGGGGTTGTCCTCACTTGTTTTGTGGGCAGAAAACAAGCCTACTTTCCTCTCTTCAGTCATGATTAGCATTGGGTTAGTGGCAGCTAAATGAGTGCATGCTTTTGTACTGATGAACTTAACCACCCATCAGCTTACACTAATAGTTGTTCTAACCGGATGAATTATGAAGTAGCTAATCAAGAAAGTGCAAAGGTAGATAATAAAGGAAGTCTCACCCATGGGTCATGAGGTTCTGCAGCCGGCACTACCAACTGCAAACCACACACCTCTCAGGAAGGCATAGGGATTGTTTCTAAATAGAAAAAGCAGCTAGAGTTATTTCCTTCAAATGGTACCATTCTTAGAGTGCAGTTGGTTGTAAGTATGAGGACCGTATCCTGGGCTGCATCAAAAGGAGCGTGACCAGAAGGTCGAAGGAGGTGATCCTGCCCCTCCACTCTGCTCTCGTGAGACCTCACTTGGAGTATTGTGTGCAGTTCTGGTGTCCTCAACATAAAAAGGACATGGATCTGTTGGAACAAGTCCAGAGGAGGGCCACGAGGATGATCAGGGGACTGGAGCACCTCCCATATGAAGAGCGGCTGAGAAAGTTGGGGCTGTTCAGTCTGGAGAAGAGAAGGCTGTGTGGAGACCTCATAGCAGCCTTCCAGTATCTGAAGGGGGCCTGTAGGGATGCTGGGGATGGACTCTTCATTAGGGACTGTAGTGATAGGACAAGGGGTAATGGGTTAAACTTAAACAGGGGAAGTTTAGATTTGGTATAAGGAGGAAATTCTTTCCTGTTAGGGTGGTGAGGCACTGGAATAGGTTGCCCAAGGAGGTTGTGAATGCTCCATCCCTGGCAGTGTTCAAGTCCAGGTTGGACGAAGCCTTGGGCGATATGGTTTAGAGCGAGGTGTCCCTGCCCATGGCAGGGGGGTTGGAACTTGATGATCTTAAGGTCCTTTTCAACCCTAACTATTCTATGATTCTATGATTCTGTTGTTATTTTTTAGGTGCTGTCTTTTGCGATGGAGTGGGTGGTTGGCTTTCATTCCCAGCAATCTAAGAACACAGCAAAAGAGCCTGTTTCTGGTAAACATCACAGTCATATCACCACCAAGAGCAAATACAGTACACAGCTGAGGAACAGCCTTTGCTTAAGGCTTTTCTTGGTTTTGTTCCCCTTGTAGCAACAGATTCAGCTCCTGGATGCCTAGCTGGGCATCTATGGCTCTGAAAAGTATTTAGAGTAGTCTTGAGAGGCTCAGTTTTTTCACCAGGAGGAGAAGACACAGCTGTAAGTTTAGTAGCAGTTCCACAGTGTCTTCTTATAACTTGCTGGGCTGAGCAAACAACGGTCACAGGTTGGTATATGAGCCTTGTGGTCTTTCCCATCCCTTTACTCCTCTGCTTGCCTCTCACTAACCTCCTTTCTCTGTCCCCTTGTTCATTCCTCTCCTTGGCTGTGGCTGAAGCAGGGATCCTGCTGTGTAGCAGCTCCCATGGGATGTTGGAGGGAGCACACTGTAGAGACCCCTGCCTCAGTATGGGCTGAGAGGCACAGCAGTGATGTCAACCCAGGCAGATGCCTACTCCCAGATCTGTGCTGTGACCTGTATATGTATTTATTGGTCTGAAGATGTGAGCCAGGCTTCTTTGGACCCTTGGCAATAGGCAGATGCTCCTGGGGGTGTTCAAAGGGACTACAGACCAGGTCAGCCTGTTCTACAAAAACCTGCTTTTGAAAGTGCACAGAAATAATGTAAAGAATGCATAGGTTTCAACCTAAAAGGTTGAATCAACCCAAGAACTATTTCTGTTTGGTAAGATAGAGGGCGATGAGTTGAAAATACAGAAGTCAACATGGATGATTGAGAGCTAGACCTAACAGACACAGCTTTAAGGGGATGAATGATTTGGAGGTCAGTCCTGTGGGGATTGGTGGTTTGATGGCAACATGATGGGTGTAGATGATGGGATGAGTTTCCATGTCAGCTGTGAGTTCTGGCTGTCCTGGGACCAGCCTGACAGACCAGACCAGAAACCTGTTTCCATGTCACCATCACAGGGTGAACTGTGAGACTTGCCTTGATCTCCTTCTGTCTCCTTCCCCTTCTTGCTCTTTGCTCTGTGTTATGATTTTTAATGCTGTTCTTAATAAGAACCTAGGTGAGTGGTCCAAGTCTGCATGTTCTACAACACTGTTATAGGGTGGTGACAACAAAAAAACCTGTTCACAATGTCTGTGATTGCCTGACACTGCTTGTGTCAGGAAACTCAGGGCTGTTGATAGGGATGTGACTGCGTGCTGGTGTTGGTTTTCAGGAGCTGAGAAGATACCAGCCAGGCTCAGCACCAGAAACAAACTGTGCTTTCTGCTTTTGCTACTCACAAAAGCATTTTCCATCTTTGCTAATTATTCTCCATACTTCCAGAGCTGGATAGCGGTAACAGCTTCAAGCCCTCAGCTCTTCAGATAAATTCATTCTTGCTTTCTTTCTAAATTTTCCTTCTATTTATTTATTTATTTCCTCAGAAAACTATCTCAGGTTTTCCACCTTTTCCTGGAACTGTAACAGAAGATTAAGATTAAAATTAAAATTAAGTTTGCTGTTCTTTGGGGGTTACAAACTGAAAAAAATACTGTTTTCTGGGCATAGTTATGGATGAGTTTTAGTGGTCTTACTAGTCCAAACTGTCATGTTTCTGTTTTATCTGCATTCTTTGTAAGCACAATATGTTTGTATCACAACCAAGGTTCCCTGTTCCCATAAATGAATAGATTGTTTATCTTCTCTCTAACCTGCCCCTATATTTTGGGGGGTTTGTTTCTATTTCAGACTTCTGAAGTCTGTACTACTGGCCTCCTTCATGTTTTAAGGCTTGCCAGACAGCTGAATCTCCATCATCTTTTACAAGTGTCTCGTGTCTGTCCAGCTTGCTTTGATAAGCTGTCAATGATGAGCATAGTTATCTGACAGTTTGCTATACAAATGCAATCTCAAACTTCCCTTTCTGCTGGGTTTTAATCACAGGTTGCCAAGCAACCTGACTGCTAGCCAGTGCTGCTCAGATTTAGCTAACTGACATGAAACAGAGATAGCGAGCAGGGCTGGAATGGAAAACTTTGTGTTGAAGAGGGTTTTGCAGCAATTCTCCCCTGCCCCCAATATTGATATCATTAAAGGACATAAAATAAGCAGGAATTTGCACTCAGACTCTCCAAAATAAGAGAGACCAAGATTTATCTGTTGAATCGAACT